CACTGCATTTAAGCCTGTTTTTTGATTGCTTTTTTCATCCGTCTTCCTTTTTCCGAGTCCATTTATTAGTTTTACGCATTTAAATAGATAAAAAATATTTCAACAGCTACAGGATTGCTGTCACCCGTAACAGAGCAATCATTTTTTGGTTATTTCGAAATCATGACATTCTCGGTCACGCATAATGGCAGTAGCATCCATGGGCAGTAGCTATAGCCTCATATAAACATGAAGGCGTGTCTAGATAATTTGGTATGTATGATCCTCGTATGATCGAATCGAGAGACAGCAGCGACATCGAACTCATAAAAATGTAAATTTTCTACAAAGCATACTATCGCTATAGAAAATAAGTTTTCATCGAACCTTAGGAAAATTTAAAACACTTTAGTCACCTTGATTTCCTTTGGTAGGTAGCAATTAATGGTCTAACTAGCCTTATAGCTAAACCAACTGTTCGTGTAGCCAACTAATAATCTTTTTCGCAGTTGTTAAACTGTCATAGGGAAAAGCTTCAACACATAATTTATAAATCAATGGATTACTAATAGCGATTAATCACGTAACAGTAACCGCATAGTACTTTGTCAACAGGCTCTACCGCACGTTCAAAGACAACAAGTACATCTATTTCCTAATGGAGCCGGTGCTGGGCGGCGACTTGTGGACCATCCTGCAGAAGCAGCGCTTCTTCCCAGAGAACGTGTCGCGATTCATGACCGCCTGCGTGGTCGAGGCCTTCCAGTACCTGCACTCCAAGGACATCATCTTCCGGGATCTCAAGCCGGAGAACTTGATGCTGGATAAGAACGGCTATATCAAATTGGTAGGTCACTTAATGTTTTTGCTGAGTAAATCTCAAACAATGATTTCATCATTGAAAAATATTTGCCTTTGTTTTAGGTTGATTTTGGGTTTGCGAAGAGAATATCGGCAAACAGTAAAACTTGGACATTTGCGGGAACTCCCGAATATGTTGCACCAGAAATTGTGCTCAATAAGGTCAGTAAATAACGTAGGTAATTACGTCAACGTCGTTTTCTTTTCGAGCTTTCTGGAAAATCTATAACCTATTAACCTAAGCTAGAATTTTCCGTAGTGAATGAGAAAATAAAGTGAAACAATATGACGTTCAGAGTAATTTTCGTATGTCACTTTAAAGGGACACGACCGTGCAGTGGACTGCTGGGCGCTGGGGGTGTTTATTCACGAGCTGCTGGTGGGCAAGCCGCCCTTCCGCGCCACCGGCGGCGACCACATGAAGACTTACACCCTGATACTGCGCGGGATCGATGCCGTGGCATTCCACCCGCGCGTCTCCAACTCCGCCAAGAACCTCATTCGGAAGCTGTGTCGTGCTGTACCGGCCGAGCGACTTGGGTACCTCAAGAACGGAATGGATGACGTTAAAAACCAGAAGTAAGTGACTTACAACTCTCAAATACTCACTCACACTCACTTAACACCAGGTGCGATTGCGGTCAAATACCTGCCTTGTCTAGCATAAAAAAAACCATCTCGCATATTTTGATGTCGACCCGAGTTCATAATCTTGAGGCAATGGTCACATTTCAGGCTCTTAGTTAGAGTAAATCGGGACTATTCCCACCTCTCGCTCCCACCACTGCAACTCCTGTGTAGCCAGGATCTACAGCTTGACCGCCACAAAAACCCAACCAATTAAGGTCAAGTTTTTCTTAGTTCGAGTAAGTATAGCTGCATTTTGCATTTTCTGCAAAATCATATTACTTACTTAAATCACAAGACTTCACTTCCACGCAACAATACTAGAGCTGCTCGAATTCTCACACAGAGGTATTATTATGTAATAGTGGCATGTTTCATGCAACGCTCACCGACGTGTTTATTATACACAAACCCGAGCTCTGAAACATACGTAACCCACATAATAATTATAATGGTACAGTACCTATAATAATCAGTTCACCTACAGTTAAGTAGGTAGGTACACTTATTACGCGAGAATGTCTGAATCAATAGGTTTTGGTTTTCTTACATTTAAATTTCTGATAAAATTAATAATTTCTGATAACTAATCCACTTATAGTGAAACGAGCTATGCGATGCACATTTAAGATTAAATGAAGAAATGCGTCATTAAATGGAATAAATGAATGCATTTCTCGTTAAATAGATAAATACTTTTTACATTTACGAGTAGATGTGGTAGTTTGTCATGCATGCATAAATGAAAAAGATAAGAACATGTTTAAATACAGGGTGGAGATTTACTCGTATGTCCCTGCATTAATGAATGTGATCAAGTTTATCAAAAATAAAGATCAAAATGCACTTTTAGAATAGACACAACATGATTCTTTGATGTCGTTGAGGTAGAGCGCAAATTTTTATGAAGAAACAAAAACTTATACACGAATTTAATGGTAAAATTGGTTTAATAAGCATAACCAAACCAACTACTTACTGGTTACTGCATATAGGAAATCGCCATCCTGTATTTAGAACACTGGGCTCGGCGAGTTGCGTTCTGTCTGCATTGTCGGTAGAGAAATTTAACTTTCTACAATGTGGTTTTTCCTCTATTTCCAGATGGTTCCTCGGATTTGACTGGGAAGGCCTACGCGAGCGCCGGCTGAAAGCGCCGCTGGTGCAACCCGTCGCCAACGACTGGGACCTTTCCAACTTCGAAAAGTATCCCAAAGACAAACTGCCTCCAGATGAGACGTCGGGTTGGGACATAGACTTCTGATCAATTAATAGAAGACTTGATCAAGAAATGTTTTACATGGAAAAGTACTTTTCAATTATGTAAATATTTTCCACAAATCATGGAGATACTTTTCATGGGCTTTCAAAATGTTGTTTCTACATAGATTTTGAGTAGAAACACCCACGATGTTACTTGTGGTACACAGTTCCACGCGCTAATGAGCCAGCTTTTCAATAACCAATAATTTTATTCCACGAGCATTTTTATATAAGATAGTTTCGTGCAAAATGATTAATTTTTAACTAAAGTTCTCAACGTGAATCGTACAACAGTCCCGGCCGATAGAATACAACGAGTTGCCTTAAATGGTAAAATCCGTGTGAATGTGATGGGAACCGTACACCATCAACTGGGTCAAATGTACAAGTCTTTTGATTTCTTGGTGTACAGGCGTTGAGTCATCAAACTTCTGTGGCATTTGTGGCAATTTTGTAATTTGTGTGCGACTTTCCAACAAAAACGTAAAGCCTATTGTGTTGACGATTGTACATAGTCATATACACCTCCACAAAAACCAAAACCTAGCACAAAATAGAATTAAAAGCCGAGATTATTCATTTATTTAGGATAAGTTAAATGTAATAATAATTTAAGATGTACTTAACTAAATGAATGTGTAAGAATAATAATAAAGCAAGATAGAAATAAATAAAATAAAAAATATTTTTATGTCCAAATCATAATAGAGATACTAAAACATTAGTTAATATGCTTTGTACCTAACTAGAACACAAAAAAACTCAAGTGTTGTTCCTTCAAAATTGGCTTTTAATGAAATAGTGATAAATTGACTGTTCTGTGAATGCAGCTATCATAACGTTCATAGCAGAATCTAACCCTGATACGATCCGTCACGCAATGGTTGCATTCCCTTGATACTTATTATTACCTGCTATTTATTACCATACTAAATAGTGTGTGTTTCAGTCATTACATAATGTACCCAGCGGATTGATAAACAATAGTACCTAGTTCATGCGCTTATTCATAACTTCATAATTAATAACTGCATAATTCTATTATTTTATCCAAACTAAGTAGTTTTAATTGGCGATGTGTAAATAAAATAACATACATGCTATATTCTAATTAAGTTGTAAAATAAAGTTTGTACGTTTATACTGATTTTGTGAGTTTTTATCATTTCCCAAGTAGATCGAGAACGTCCATTCAAAAGAAACTAGCAATTTTTTAATAAATTATGATAGGTAAAAAAAACCTACTAAAACAGAGATTGACACTGAACTGTTTAATGTTGTGTAACCGTCTCTGATTGCATTTGCATTAAAGTCGATGTAATTTGGGTTTAATTGCTAGAAAAAACACCAGTTTCTATTGGCGTGGACTATAGCATCGAATGGGTGCGTAGAAGAACGCACACGTGTTGTTCGATGCGCAAACGCATTGCCTGAATGGAGGTCAGTGGGGGAATAAACCTGCGCGCGCATTGCTCCGTGCCCTTTATCGGGGTCACTTAGCCACTACTTATTCATTTTAGTAACCGTTATTTATATCTAATCAAATATTGCTTTAGATGTTTAAATAAAATTAAAATTTAGACTAGACTAACTAACCGTTTCAGTGCCGATGGCACTTCAAATAACTGTTGGTCTCAACATCAGGCTGTTCATCATTGTCAGTCAGTGACTCCAGTATAGTTGACATCGGAATCTATAAAATATTTATTATGTCAAATTGTCTATTTTTTACATTTTAGCAATGCAAGGCAGCCATATCTGAAATTTTTTTACCAATCCTAATATTTGTGGCCCATTCCCACACTCAAAGTAATTAAATGCATCCAATATATTCAAATTGTTAAACAAAACCAAATAAATCAATCACCGGCGTGATCTGTTCACACTTGAGCGTCGTTTCTAATACATAAATATTAGATCCTAGGTCAATTTCATGCAAGCACCTGTAAACAGACGACGTTGCTGTCTTTTGTAAGAAGACCAAAAATTACGCATCTCAGGTATCTCTACCTGGTTGTTTTTATCGTAATTTTAATTTAATTTTATTGATGAATTAATAATGCTCTAGATCCGCTATTTAATGAAATGTAGGAATGAATCTCTATTCTTTGGAATAGAAATATTGGAGGAAATATTATGCATGAAAGCGCACCAGACTAGCAACCAGTTTTATGTGTACTTTCAATGAACTAAATTGAAATGTGGCTGCTACGCGCTTCCATGCTATCGAGCAGCAGCGGCGCGGTGACAAACACCGTTCAGCCACCATGTCTCGCTGCTGGCGAGCCGTCCGTTCGAGCGGTTAGTCGCGGACACATCCCGAGAGCGGGCCCACGCGCGCGGATCCCCTCGGCGCTACGATGCGTTCCTCCTAAGATCGTCACACGTCTCAAAACAATCGCCGATAACGTAAACATTGTAACACAATGGACTGTGAGTGATATTCGTAAATACGCACCACCGAATCGAGAGTGATTTGCAAGTTTTAAATCAGAAACTATTACAAAACCGCGCAGAGACATACTTTCGGAGGTGAGCTTATATTATGATTGTGACATGCATGTTAATTTCGTTTAGATACAGTAAAATCAAGGAAAATGCATTTTCATATTTCTTTTTTCCAATAGTGAATACTTAAACAGATTACCTGTAGGAAATTACATACGTAATAAATTCTAGCTCCTGTTGAGCGCATGTTAGACCGTAGTCTGCAGGTAGGATGATAATGCACAGATTTATACATAGATATTAAATTTCTAGGCAGCAAACACTTAGACTCAAAACTTGTTTATAATATGTTTCAAGCTTATTTTATTTATATCTAGGCTTTATTTAAGGCTAATTTCGTGCTCACCGGTTATTCCGGTTTAGCGTAATGGAAAAACATCTTATCAAACTTTGAAAACAATATCGTCATAGGCAGTACGTTACTATTCATTCATCATGAACCAAACGTTTGATGGGGAAAACTGGATTTGATCTAACAAGTTTCGTTGTGGTACCTACAGCCAGTTAGCGTTTACAAGTAATATCCGGAACATTGAACCTTATTTAGTGGTTAAGTCTTGAATTTTAGCTTAGGCTCATTGCCTGACAGTAGGTACTTCTATGTTATATTTTCCCAATCCTAGATACTTTTCCACTACGAGGAGCTATTTTCCTACTACATAGTATTCGTAGCAGTCATTGTTTCATAAGGCATGGTTGTTTATAGACTCGCTTGGTGTAGGTTACAGCGCATCAGAATACATTTATTTTGTAAATACCTAGCAAAATATGTAGTAGGTAGATACTGATCTATTGTTACTACAGAAGATGCCAACTGTCTAGCTTGATGTATTGTAGTCTTTATAGTGCACGATCTTCATAATACTTAAATATAAAAGAACCGTCATATCTATATGTTAACTTCAAACTTGCCACTTAACATTTAAGAAAACTAAAATATATAGGTAAGTAATTTGACCCAAACATCACTACACATCGAAATGAATTGAAACATTTTTTTATTGCTTTTAGTACTGTACTTTCAGTCTCTGTAGTTCAGTGTTTTGTGGTTTTTGACGAAACTCACGCGTATCTATATGTACCTACCTACTTAGGATGATAATGTAAAAAGTTTTAGTGAAATTAATTCAAAAGCCTTTCATAAGCAATGACCTACGTTTCATCACTCTAAAATAATAGCTTCCTTTGCCACGTGCCCCGTATTACTAAAGAATGCGATGAAGCGTTACCATCGCATTGTTCTCACAAAAGGATGTTCCTTTGGCTCTCGAAACTAGACAATTGCCTTGACGTGCCATATTGGTGGGGCTGCATAAATCTATGTTAACAAAACTATTGTTCTAACGATTGTCCAAAAAGATATGTAGCTACGTACTTACCACTCACACGAACATAACTTTGTTTGCATTTCCTCGTTTGTAATAGGCATTAAAGTGGCCCGATAAGCCACTACTATACATACCTAATTACATCTAGGTAAGGAAGGATAAACATTTCAGTGAGGAATTTCAGGATTTATTCATTAATCACTCACTTCTTAATTGCCTATAGTTTTAACAAAAATTGATATCATCGCCCGAAATAAAGATCACACTTGTGGATACACCATTGATGAATCAAGAAAAAATAGGTCGCAGATATTTTTATCCTTGCGGCATTAACCCACTCATTATTTTTGTCATTTGTTTGATGAAAGTAGTTTAATAGTGTTTTTTTTATTTGTTCATTACGGATAAAAGTAACGAACTACGCAATTCTTATGTCGCCGTTAATGTACACTTTATAGTGTTATCTTTAAATATGTCACAAAAATGTAGAAAAGTAAACACGACCTGTCTCCACGGCGCAAACAAATGAAATTGTTATTTTAGTTCAGTTTACCTATCTTTAATATAAATCTAGTTAAATAAAATAAGTTAAGCCCAAGCCATCTGAAAATGGCCTTATAGATCCTGCATGTAAACCTGTTCAAACAAACAATTAAATCTTTCATGCATATTGCATATTAGGTAGACCACTCAAATTAAGTGTGTTGTATAATATTATGAACCTTGAAACCGCCTGAAAACGGTGTCATCGTCCATATTTAGTGACACTCCTTTTTTCGTACATTCTAGTTCAATGCCTCGTTTATTAGACAATCTCATTTGTCTCGTCAACTCGATCGGATATGGTTTAAGTGTACTAATTAGTTCTATTACTAACAGACTCACATCGCAAGTTCAAAGTCGAAAGATAAAAACTTAATTACTATCAAGTATTTGCATTGAATGATGGTGAAAAAGATTCCGTCGTACTTATGTGACAGTTCCACATTAGTTCGCAGAAGTCTTCTCGCGTGAGGTAAAGTAAAAGCAGGTCAACGGTTCCACGCCATCCTATCTATGCTTAGTTTACGCACCAACATAAATTAACTGGAAAATAATTAAATTAAACATTTCTAATAGAAAATTATTCTATAAATATAGATTGGTATTATGAAAACTACTTATCAACTTCTCAGAACATCGAATTATTAAGCGTACCTATTAGTTAACTGTAATATTATTATAATAATGATGTAATTAATATTGGCTATTCTGATTAATTAATCACTTACTCATAATTAACTCGCAATATAGCTAATTATTTCCTTCCTATAAAATTATATTATCGAGATGAAGGCCGACGGCGAACGTTACCTTTTTCGCTTAGTTAGAAACTGAAAAATCTACTGTAATCGCAGGTTTTTAGGTATGTAGATAGATTAAATAGTAATTAACAAGCCACACACATCTGTCGATTATGAGACATACTTAAGTTCGAAACAGCACATTTTAGTAAGTAGGTACGTCTTATTTCTTGGAAGCGATTTCTCCCAGACAACCCATGGTACTTAGTTATTATCAAAGACGCGACAATCAGTGGCGGCGTAGCATGGGTTGGCACCCAGGGCGATCACCCCCCCACCCCCCTCGTTATAAGTCCTAAAGCACCCCCTGGTACCCCCAGGATTTTGGGGGTTACCTACCGATTCCGGTTACCGGTTATTACCGATAGACCGCAGACTTGCCATGCAGTTGTGCGCCAGTGAGTACTAATCTGCGCGACTTGTGTCACCCCCTGATGCTTGGCACCCGGGGCGGACCGCCTTGCGCCGCTACTGGCGACAATAGCCCAGAATAGGCCAATGGTGTATATCGCGTTAGATCCGTGGAACGAGCGAGGGTTCGAACTCCGCCGCGCCGCTGGACCATTGTGGCGATGGATATTTGTAACTTACCCCGAAGTGTTAACGGGCCTTAAAAGACTTTAATACTAAGTTAGGTATTTAACCACGTAATTGAAGGGGTGAGTGGACAAAGGTGTTATCAGACAAAACTGAAGAATCGACTTTTTTGCATGAACATAGGTTTTAAGTTGTGAGCTCAAAACACGCAATTTTGTTAAGTACCTATCAAACCTTAACAAAGGTGTTATCTGACAAGCATTCATACATTTCAGGATTCAAATGTGGTATGAGCAGATTAACATTTTAAAACACTCATAACTCATTTTGTTAGTTAAGACCTTTGTCCACTCACCCCTTCAATAGACATGTTGACACCACCACTCAATTGACGTACTTTTTAACTGTCAAAACGAAACTCCTATAGATTTTGTATGGCATTACAAGCAAGTGACGTCACTATATTGTCAACTCAATCAAACTACTTTTTACAATTGCAATGCGAACAAAAATCGTAATTTACAGGTAATTTAAGATGAATTAAGTTTTTAAGACCATAGGGTCTTTTTAAAACAGTTGTGGTTCCGAATTATTGGGGTATGGTGTCAAACTGTCTATTATAGTTCCAAAATACTGTGGGTCTAGACAAAGTGCAAATTATAATCGCAAACCAGTCGCAAAGTGGTCGAAAAGCCCCTTTTTTGTATGGAGTTTTGACGGATTCGATTTTCGATTCGATCAAAAAGTGCGTTTTGTCTAGGGGGGCTGTGGGTCTAGACAAAGTACAAATTATAATCGCAAACCAGTCGAAAAGTGGTCGAAAAGCCACTTTTTTGTATGGAGTTTTGACGGATTCGATTTTCGATTCGATCAAAAAGTGCGTTTTGTCTAGGGGGGCTGAACTGTCCTATCGATGACACTGACAGCGGGGCGCCACCGTCAATACCGAAACGCTGGTTCCGATTTTTGCCATGTTGGAAACCATAAAGTTGAACGATGGTAGCGCCCCCCTGTCATTGAGTTTGGCGGGACAGTTCAGCGTGGGTCATCTATATGTAAATGTTTGGCCACCTGTTGGTGCAGCGTCGCGCACGCGCAGCATGGAGGCGGTGTGCGCGCGCGGCGACCCGGGCTGCGAAGCGCACGCGCTGTCCGCGGCGCTGCACGCGCTGCACCTGTACTGCGCCACCATCTCCGCAGCGCTCATCTGCTGCTGCGCGCCTGGACACCACTCCTGGTAAGCAGATGTCATTATCACTACATAGAATAAAACAAAGTCGCTTTCCGTCTGTCTCTAAGATCTTTAAAACTTCGCAACGGATTTTGAGACGGTTTTTTAATAGATAGATAGAGTATAGATACCTATACTTAGCACCCGTGCGAAGCGGGGGCGGGTCGCTACTAAAGGTATAAGTCCAAGATGGGCTGCAGACTGCAACCGCAGGCGACACTGCGACTAGGCTACGGTAGACCGCATTTCATACAGGCCATTTCATAGAAACCTTGGTGGCTTGCAGTTTGCGGTCTGCAGTCCATTTTGGACTAGTACTGGAGATCAAGACGCTGTGGCCAACTATTTTTAGCACTAACATAGACTTTCACAGGCCGCAAAACGAGGTTATCAATTATCATCATTCCAGCCACAGGACGTCTACTGCTGAACATAGGCCTCCTCCAATGATTTCTACATATTGATTGGTTGGCAGCGGCCTGCATCTAGCGCCTTCCTTTATGAGGTCGTCTGTCCACCTTGTGAGACCACGCTGCGCTTTCCTGTACGTGGCCTCCACTCCAGCTGCCTTGATGCCCCATTGGCTTTCAAAACATTGATATGTGTCCCATTGATATGTGTCCCTCACATGTAAAATTTTCCAAGAGAAGAAGGACGCAACTTTCAAAAGGTGCATGTTCAGCAGTAGGTAAAACGAAGGCTTTGTTTAAAAGCAAACATAATCTATATCAATCATAGTCTGTCTGAAGACATAGATTGAAGTCTATGAAGAAGTCGTAGTTAACTAGAATTTTATGTAGGTCTCTCTCACCACTACCCATTATTAATTACCAAGTGTGTAAATTAAAAGCAGATGTCCGGTAAACTAAAGTTTCCATGTGGTAGAGCACTAATATCAAGGACCTGAGAAATGCGTTTACGTAACGTTTTGTTTAATAAAAACTATACGTCATTTGTTATATGAACGTACGTACGTAAATACTTTTCGGTTTACATAGGTAATACTTATTTATTGTTTCATTTAATTAACACAACAATACCTACAATATTACAAAATGCGAGTAAATATGACGGCGACGCATACATGTAGGTAGGCCTCTGCCTACATGTATGCGGAAAATGAAACTGTTTTCACGTCGAGATTTAATTTTGTGGTAACGGGCATATTAATGTTTACCTATTTTCTTTAAATTGTAAGTTAGTTAACTTATAATATTGTCGATGTAGTGAGAACTTAGACCATTAATTAAGTATATGGTTAAGGTATGGAAAACGCTGGCGGGGTCAAAACATCCGCGGAGCCGCAACCCTCACAGTAGGAGCGGCCTGGTGCTGCGGCGCTGCGGTGGGGTCTTTGCGGCCCGCGGCCACCGTGGCGCTGGTCTCCCTGACCCTGGCGCCGCTGGCCTGGCTGGCCGCCACCGCGCTGCACGTCGCTCTCTGGACCCGGCGCTCCGCAGCTCCTCTCTTATACCTGGCCATTTACTGGCTACTGGCTGCCGCCTCCTCCGCTGGGATCCTGTACCAAAACCTAGCGACAACAGCTTCTCCAAACCACATAGAACTCTACATCCAAGGGATTTCCTTGGTTCTCTCGCTGGTCACAGCAGGAGTAGACAGCGTCTGCTTTTACGATGAGGTTGGTAATTTTACATAAAAAACCACATTTGCGCGAAGCCACAACAAGGACTCTCGCGGAAGACCAGCTTCTTAGCTTCTTGACATGCCCTTACGAGCATGTCAGGATAAATGCTGAGCGAGCCTATTGACACAATGGCCCACTATTTTTCTTTATTCGTTTTGTGTTGATATTGCTTATAATTTGTGCTTCTGTGTTCAATAAAGTCTATTTCTTTCTTTCTAAAATATTTTTCACACAATACTTGTATATAAAATAGACATAACCCATATCACAAATCGAAATAAACGCAGACAAATCCGCGGGCAAAGACTAACATATTATAAGTTCGTATTGTGCTACTCTACTATGTTCCGCACGTCCCAAATATTTAACGCTCGGTGTTTTAATGCGAAACACTATGCTAATGGAAAGTTGTGGAATGGAGTGATAGTTAAATGTGTGTGAGCCGGGCATGTCGCAGTGGCGTGGTGGCATGCCGTGCATACCCCGGCCTGCAATTATCGGACGCAGCGCGCGACATCGTGGAATGGGGACCATAAACCAGATAATACAATCTTTAAAACCCTAAGTGGCTATGACTCTACCAAAAGTATTTTTAATTTTATTAAGTAGATTGAAAATAAAAAATACTTTGAAATACATTTATCGACATAAACAATAATTAATCATTGAAGGCCACAATGCCTGCTGTGTGACCTAAAAGCGTCGCATGTGTTCTCGTTTATACGTAGCTCTATTATGTAGAGTACCTATAGTCATACGCGTCACGCACATAAATGCACGTTACAACTCCTATTAACAATCAACATTATGGTCATAAAATTTATAGAGCCAAATTATAGCTTAGGCGAAAGCAATAAAATGTCTATAACATCATACAAGTCAGATGATCATTACAGAAATACTTTATGTTTCTCATACACAAAAATCGCCACAAAATAAGGAAATTCAGAAATGCTGAATGTTTTTCAGAATGAGCTTTTAAAAGAGTTAGATTTTGTAATATTTTTCGCTAATTGACATCGTGCAGCAAGTGGTCATAGCGTAGCACTTGTTTAAAACAAATGAATACCAACTTTCTACGTAGCTCGTTTAAAGCGGGTTAACTACGGAGTAGTGTCAGCGTATCGTTAATCGTTCGAATGTTAATCGTCTAAACAACGAAAAGGGCTGAGTCATCAGCACTGGGAATGATGACGAAAGGCTTCGGGAATTACGGGACGACGACCCGGAAGAGCGACGACTTCATCCTCATATCTTATGAGATGGAAAACCCAACCTAACACATTCAGTCGCTAATCTAATTAAGAAATGACTGCATGAACTAATGCAGAATTTTAGGAGTCAGTTAAATTACGTCGTCATTTTTGTATCTTTTACAATATGAAAATAGAGCTCATAGAGCTAATTTACATAATGTCTTTATTTGTAGTACAAATAATTTAATGTAGAGTCCATTAAAGCAATTTTATAATTTGTTAAAATAGATAGTAAGGACCTACGTTACGCTACGAATTTTAAATCTAGACCCTCACAAAGAAGTTTCAAAGCATGGTGCGTCTGCATAAAGGTATCATCGACCTTCGCAAATAGCTTAGTCCAGACGATATCGAATATCTCCGGCACAGAGGGATTAAAGTATTCTGGATCGTGCGGAACAAGGAGTAGTTTCGAGTAGCAGCGGTCAGGCCGCCAGACGCCGAGCGCCCGCCTCGGTCGCTTTCCAAGTCTGGCGCCAGTGATATCCAGTTTTATACCGCCAAATTGCCACTACACATCGTAAACAGAAGCTCCGGTACAAATAAGCCATTTCATTGAAGCAATAGATAATAGTTAGTTACGAGTACATGATTTAGATGAGAAAGAAGTAACTCCAGTAAAAGTTAGCTTATTTTAATGAGCATGTTTTAAGGCTGTACTCCATAACTAACTTGAGAATTCAAAATTGTTTCAGGTTACAAAACGACACCGAGATCGTCCAAAGTCTTCAATAGAAAGCCATAATGTTTCATATAAACACAATAACACTCATTTCTTTTCGAAGATAACGTTTTTCTGGCTGAATTATTTATTGTGGAGCGGCTATGAGTCACCGCTTGAGGAAGACGATTTGGGCGAGCTGCCCGAAGATGAAAGATCTACGATTTACTATCATAAGTTTAAAACAATATACAATCTCGATAGGAAGGTAAATATTGAAAGGTGCTTTACAAAGTAAATGATATGAAATGTATCAAAATAAATGTAAAGTATGTTTTAGGTGACAAAACCCGATGAAAGAAATCCAAGTATATGGCGATGTTATATGCGAACAGTTTGGCCTAATTTCTATATCGCCGGACTTATGAAATTGCTTAGCGATTTGATAAGCGTGGTACCACCACTTGGCCTAGCTGTTATTATTCAGTATATTGAAGGACCTCTTGAAACTTACGATGGCAGTTCTGAAGTCACGCTCCAGGAGTTTTTCAGCAACGGTTATGTAATGTTGCTTGTCGTGACTCTGGCACTTGTGTTTCAAGCACTTCTCTCGCAAAACTCGACCCATCTGGTGACAGTGGAGGGCACTCGATTGAAGACTGGTTTACAGGTATGAGATAGGTATATCTCGGTTACAAAAGAGATCTAGGTATTCTGGATGATACGGTAGATCCCTTGCCGATATGACGTCAAACGTAAAACCCAATCAGCTGAGTCAGTGAGTGAGATTATCGAACTGCTTTGATACCTATTCCTTTAGAATGTTTTAGTCGAAATGATGCCAAGAATTTATTATTATTGTTTCATGGAAAAATCGTGATTGTATATATGTGTGTAATCTACCTTTTTAGGGAATGTTGTTCGACAAGTGTATGCGCTTAGCGCCGTGGTCATCTAACGATAACAACGGAGACGAGGAGTCGCCTCTGTTGCACGCACCCGAAGACTCTTCAGCTACACCTTCAGGAGTTCTCACAAACCTCATGTCACAGGACACTTATAACATCATGTCGTGCGTTTGGATCTGCCACTATCTGTGGGCCATACCTTTAAAGGTAAAAATTGATAGCTTTTTCAATACTGAACAAATACCTATTGCAATGTTCTTCAATTAATTGCTATTGTGAATTTTCAGGTAGCCGTTATTTTGTATTTATTATACACAAAATTAGGAGTTAGCGCAATTATCGGCACGGCAGTTAGTGTCCTATTCATAACTCCTTTACAATTTTATATCGGGAAAAAGATATCGGATAATTCCAAGGATATCTCAAAATGTACAGATCACAGAATATCTAAAATAACTGAAATATTGCAAGGCATGAACGTTATAAAGCTTTACGTTTGGGAAGACCTGTTTAAGGAAAAAATACTAAATCTGAGAGAAGTAGAGTTAAAACTCTTGAACAAAGATTCAATTTACTGGAGTTTTTTGAGTAAGTAAAACACCTACTACGAGTATTTTATTTTAATGTAAAAAAACACCAAATGTATTTCTATTCTAATAAAACATTATTGTTGCAGCATTCACTACACAAGTTTCGACAGTACTGGTAACAGTGATAACTTTCTTAGCATATTACTTCTTGAACGACAGTAAAGGGCTGACAGCAGTCAATGTATTTGCTGGGCTCGCTTTGTTCAACCAGCTCACTGTCCCGCTGCTGATACTTCCTGTGACAGTGCTGATGATGATACAAGCTATGGTAGGTCCAACCACCTTTCTCCATAATTTCATAGACCTAGTTAACTTCTCATGACGCCACACTACCAGTAAATGAAGGGTTGCTACTTTTCCAGGTCAGCACGAATAGAATTAAAGATTTTCTGGAACTACCAGAGTCAAATAACGTGAGAGAAGATTGCCTCTCTGAAAACTCAAGAAAACCTTCAGACATTTTCAACGACGCTTTTGTTGACAACGTGCCAGACGACAACTCTATGGTGGAAGATGGGGTAAAAGATGTTGTGGACGCAGAAGATCAATTTTCTGACGATGAAAATTGTGGAATCTCTTCGAATCAAGAATACGTTGTTAGGTTTAGAAATGCCGCTTTTTCTTGGGGAATGAAGAATGACATGCTATTAGAAGTTGACGATTTGGATATTCCAGCAGGTCAGTAGCATTTATTTGAATCCGCCACTGAGAAGTAATCTTACTTATTAACATGGTGTTATTTTATAGGAAAACTAATAATGGTGGTTGGAACCAGTGGTGCAGGCAAGAGCTCGTTGCTGTCGGCAATGCTCGGCGAGATGTTCTTGGAGCGCGGTGACGTCACTTACAACGGGTGAGTACTTAATAGGGAATGATGCTCCACAAACGTGACAAGTAAACACGTTACTCGTACATGTAACGGTCTTTTACAATGACTGCGCCTGTGCATGTTGTGAACGGTATTTTGTGGAAAGTCTGAATGGGAAAATAAACTAGTAATGTCGCTCTATGAGTATCAACCTTTAGCTGTTGTAAAACCCTACCCAATATTTATAGAAATCGGTTGAATGTTTGACGATATATGGTTCTTGAATCTAGAGGTACTGGGCCGATCCTTACAACAGTAGCTAGCTAAGTAAATTATTATTATAGTAAATATGTAACTCCGTTTCGATTTCCGAAGGTTGCGATAAAATTTATAGGGTCATGATCATGTTTAAATTAATTTTAGGCGATGCACGACATGGTACGCAGGCCAGCCTCCATGGTTGGTGGAGGGCTCGGTGCGCGACAACATTGTGATGGGCAGCCCCTGGTGCCAGCGGCGCTATGGCCGCGTGCTGCGAGCCGCTGCTCTACGGCCAGATTTGCAGCTGTTACCAGGTAACTAACAGCAGTAAAAAATCGAAAAACTCGACAAGAAAATGATTCAGATTTCTAGATATTAAATTAGCTTTTTAATTGCTAATTAAGAACCATGCTACCTAGTTTTCAGTGAAAAGGTAAAAAAGACTAAAATCAAGTCCTACCTACATTACTTGAAAAAAATCCTGGAGTAACCAGGCAAGAAACCAGAAGAATAACAGTAGGTATACGGCTAGAAGCTGAAGGTGCTTCGCACTTTACTACATGTTCAACTTACACAACTCTTAATAATCACATAGGAGATAATATTTTCCTCTTGTTAATTAAAGATTGCACTGTCAGTAGTGCCTAACAGTAATAATTAATTACAATCTAACTGTGCCTAATTAATAAAAACAGTTTGTCCATCGAATCAGCAGTTTCGCTTAACGGTTCCTTTTATTAAAGTTTCTCATTTTCTTTTAACGGTTGAATTGAAAACGCTATAGGATGCGAAATATACTAAGATCTAGATGACGTGAAGTAAGTTTGCGTTTTTCAACCAGCTCGCAGTCTTTTTTTTATATTTAGATAGCGCATCTTTCCATCACAAAAAGTTAAGTGAGTAAAAAATGTACACGGTAAGTATTTATTTTGATCTACATAGTATCCAAATATTCTTCGAGAAAATGGTATCTCAGCAGACAGCAAATCCAATAAGCAAGTTGAAAAAACAAACGAACGCTTCATCAACATTTCACGCTACATGGCTGCCGGTTAATAGCGCACGATTTATTTTAATTACAATGAATTGGAATGTTTTTCAAGACTTATTACGTTTATGGGATTTAATACGATTGTAAATTTTATGACGATTGAAAATAAAAATTATATCTCAACTTAGTGGAGAAGACCACGATTAGAATAATCTCACATCTTGCAATTTGTAATATAAATACATAGCAAGATGAACTTGAAAATTTTAATCATCAAAATTGTCACTGTAGGGGCAAGTGTAGTCTATGAACGGTTTTACCTGTGGACATCACTGATTATTTTCTTTCAAGATTCGGGAAATGTCCGTCCATAGGTATATTAGACACTTGCGCTGCATTAAATCATGTTTTACAAAAATGCGATCTACTTATGTATTTTTTACGGGGCTGTTTATGACACATATTAACAAAGTTGAGGGAGAACGTTATCTTTTATGCATACCGTTCGGTTACACAAATTTTCTGCTTGGCCCAAAGGTTGACTGGAAAAGAATGCCATAGGACAGTAAATTCGCAATTTGTCCTCTGATATATTGTGTGCAATAAAGCTTGAAGTGTTTTTTATTCTTTAGAGGGTGACGCCACCCGCCTCGGCAGCCACGGCGCGCCGCTATCCGGCGGGCAGCGCGTGCGCGTGTGCATCGCGCGCGCACTGTATTCCGGCGCGCGGCTTCTAGCGCTGGACGAGCCGCTGGCAGCGCTGGATGCGCCGCTAGCGAGACACGTCGTGGCCCGGGCCCTTGTACCGGCAGCCAGGGCCGGCCGGACGGTGGTTGTGGCCACTAATCGATTGGAGCTGCTGCATTATGCGGATTTGGTTAGTATTTGATGCTAAAAATCTTCACTCTTTATGTTCTAAAATGTTTAGTCAATCATTCCTGGTTTTTTTAGATTCTTATGGAATCAAATAAATCAAAAGACTTAATTTGCATGCGCAAAAAACGCCTGAAATCCTCCGGAACGTAGGGACTTTTCACATGCAAAGTCTCGTACCTATAGATGCAATACAAGAAAGACTGTCACCATTCACCATGAAAGTCCTTTCTAATAATGTAGAGAATATGCTCAAATGCAAAAAAATAGCAAGAGCTTATTGTTTCTACCGATTTTATGTACACATATCAAAGACTGTGTATGTATCTTAGGTGATCGCAATGGAGGAAGGCCGTGTAAGCGGCGTGGGCCGCGCGGGCGCCGGTGTTTGCCCGGGCGGCGCGGGCGCAGCGGGCGCGGTGTCCCGCTGGGCGCGGCTGGCGGCGGAGGCGCGAGCAGCCGCGGCCCGAGCGGGCGCGGGACCGCCAGGTGGCGCCGCCCGGGAACGCACCAGGCTCATGCGGGAGCTCACCAGAGCCAGGTTCCAGAGGTGCAACTCTGATGATACTATGGTAAGTAAAACTCTCGTAGCACCAACACAACTTTCGCACTTTAAAAAATGCAAATCATAGCAGATTTGACCGCAATCACACCTAATGTTAAGAGAGATGCAGTTTAGGATGGTACATACGTACAATATTCATGAAGCATCGAGAGTTGCTAGATTTGAGTTACAAACTTTACGTTAAAAGCGTTGGTAGGTAAGTACCTACTTACGTTACCTAAGCTTAACACCAAGGTTTTTCTTCGGTAGATGCTATGATCTATTCGCACATGATTCGCACAAATGGAACATAAGATAAATGGACAATGGCATTATGTGAAATGCTTAGTGAAAAATCAAACAATCAGTTTAGGAAATGGTCGACTGCATTTGTGATGGATTACTACTGTTCCGAAACAAGCGACTTTCTACGTTATTTTTTTTCCAACTTAGGTATGTTATAAATTCGATTTTGATAGACAACAGGTAGACAGTATAGCGCGATGGTGCTAGGCACGAAAGAGGAATTCCACAAATTCTTCCAAGCGCCAGTAAATAATAATTGCTGTAATAATTTATCGGGTTGTCACGCGTTCATCGTTCTAGTGATTAATTAGTCTCTCTACTAGGTCCAGGGTCCAATAGAAGAAACACGTTAAACATTACCTAATTGGGATGCTTTAATTTGGCTTGAATCAATCTGATCGTTATAAAAGAATACGTCGCTTCGGGCGATTCGGTTTGCCATGGCAATGTGTCCGGCCTAATTAACTCAGCTTAGTGTTAAACCTCAATTAGACTGCACTAGTGATTGCAGGTGCAGTCACCTAACAGAAGCGATACGGGCGGACTGAGCCATTGGAAACAGTTTACACTCGCGCCATCACTTGCGCCTGCCTCCACTCCGATGAGGTCTAACGCCCGTATTCGCAAACATTACTATGAGGTATCACAGTGCGCTTGGATGCACAGGATTGACACACGAACCAATCACATAGCCCTATTCGACGCTGTGCGTTTGATTTGCTGCTTCACTTAAGCAAGCATCGTTTGTGAATACGGGCGTAAATGTATCACATTACTTTCAAATTTGAAAATTATAAAAAACCGGAAAAAATCGAACTGCCTAAGGCGGGAATTGCAAGCGAAAGGTCGTGGGTGGCATTCCCGCCGTTCCTGTACTGTTTACAGTTCGAAATTTTCAAGTTTTTTTAATAACTAGCTGACCCGGCGAACTTTGTTCCGCCTTAATGGCAATAAATAAGCAGACTTTTTTATTTCGAACGGGATAAAAAGTATCCTATGTCCTTCGCCTGGCTCTAAACTACCTCCCTGACAATTTTCAGCTAAATCGGTTCAGCCGTTCTTGAGTTATAAGTGGAGTAACTAACACGACTTTCTTTTATATATATAGATTTTTAAATTAGTTTGAGATTCAACTCTCAACTCAAATAATTGTCAAGTTTGTCAAACCTCACAGGTGGGTATCTGCGAGGCGGCGGGCGCGCACCTGCTGGCCGAGGTGCCGACGCGCGCGGGCGGCAGCTGGCGGCGCGCGGCGCGCCAGCGGCCCGCCCTGGAGCGGCAGCTCTCCTCGCCGCCGCCCTCCGTGCACAACTACAAGTATGTATCAGCATCATCAATCATCATCATATCATCAACTATAACATAACTTTCCACCGGGACAAACTTGACCTTTAAGCCGCGTTTTCACTAGGAGACATTTGTCCCGCGACTCTGTCGCCCGACACGAAATTCACGTGTCCCGCTCAATGTCGCCCGACGTCGCTTGCGACATCTACGGGTCGCGAGACTTGTCGCTTGTCGATGCTCTATGCACTACTGGCTAGTGTGAACAAGTCATATGTCGAGGGACAAAGTTGCAGAGACAAACTACGTGAATGTCGGACGACTTATCTCTGCGACATGTCCCCTAGTGAAAACGTGGCTTCACTGGTTGGGTTTTTAATGGCGGTCAAGCTGTAGATACTGGCTACACAGGAGTTGCAATGGTGGGAAAGAGAGGCGGGAATTTAGTCCCGTATCATATCATCAATCATTTCAGCCACAGGACGTCCAGTATCCACTGCTGAAAATAGACCTCTTAATGATTTCATTATTAACCTGTTGGCTAGCGGCCTGCGCCTAGTGCCTTCCTGCTACCTTTATGAGGCCGTCGGTCCACTTTTTGGGTGGACGTCTCACGCTGCGCTGTACGTACAGATAGTAATTTGATCTCTTCATGCATCCAGGATCCTGCCTAGCCTATTAATTTAGCTCTTGTCGTGGCTGCTACTTAGTTGTCCCTTATGTCTCAACCAGCAAATAGGGAGACCTGATTAAGGTCACATCCCACATTGAATATCGTTTGGAAATGAATTTGTGTTTGGGTGTTCTGAAAAAAAAGTCTTTAAAATGTTTCTTTTCAGTGAAAATTCTTCAAGATTAACACTGACCAAAGGTCTTCCTTCTAGAGAAGTTAGGTGTCTCTAATAACTATAACATCTGTAACTAGTCGCTTGGATGAAATCTATGCCATGTAAATGAAGTTTTATATTTATGAGTGTTTTTATAAAAGGTGGCGCCGTGAAGTGCGGCGCGCCGTAAGCGCCGATGCATCGAATGCAGCGCTGCAGAGGGAAGCCAGCCTGCTGCGGCGACTGCTACGACCCCGCCCACACCGGACTTTAGCCAGGTAAGAAATAATTTATACTTAGTAACTTCTATGACTTCGGTTTGAAATGGGAAATCATGAGGAGGAAAATAATTTGATTTTTATTTTTAGATGGACGCCTCGAACTTTACGGCGACTATTAAGTTCGGATTCCGAAACGACTACCGAAGAGAATATACCTAACGGTAAGTCAAGCTAACGAGACAGAAGTGGTTGAAGTGATATTGTAAGTTTTTATTAAAAAAATATGAAATTTAACCAAATGTTATCTACCTTGGCAGGAGTAGTCGATGAATCAGCCTTGGAGACAGCGTACACATCTCTTACATCCAATGGAACAGAAACGAGTACGGTTGTCATCCAAGAAGAGACACCAAACAAACCCGAATCCGATGAACCTGCAACAGAAGTAAGCCAACTGTATTTGATAAACTCCTAACGAACCATGTTAATGTGACTATGAGCTTTAATTTATTCTACTTACATTATCCCATTTAGTTCAAGGATAGAAAAGTAGATCTAACAGGCACGCCATGCAGTTAAATGCTGAATTACTGACAAAATGTTGGTAAAGCATTTACACAATTTAATGACTTCAATTGGATACTAGGAACGCTAACTATGACGGAGCAATCAACATTAATTCATAGTACCTAATGGACTTCGGTAAATACGCGTTATTTTACGTAGCATGTGGGAAGCAGCGGGACCGTGAAAGTTAAAGTTGTTTGTCCAACAGTGGACGTCATTTGACTGAAACTAACGATCAAAGTAAGTCACTAAATCTTTAGATTCTTTCTTTACAGCTCTGTCCCATATACATAATTATTTCCACCATAATTTAAACCTTCGTTCGTTCGTTTCAGCCGAAAGACGTCAGAAGACAACTGGACAAAGGCCACCCCAAGGATTTCCACAAAAATTTTGAACCGTACTTCTTTTTAAGGTTAAAAAACAACTTAGGCCAGTTTCACTATACATATTTATTTGGTTTTAAACCTTGTAAGACGTCAATAAAGTCCACACTATCACACTACATAACAGCAGAGTAAATACAAATGAGCGAAACGCACCGAGCGGTTTGTATGTGAGCGCGCCAATATACGTATGCGGCGCGACGCACACACTGACAAAATTCGGCGCAACCACGACTGGCTCCCCACTAAATTTTGTCAGTGTGTGCGTGCGCGCCGCTCACATACAAACCGCGCCCGTGCGTTTCTATGAAGATGACCTGACCTACTCATTTGTATTTACTCTGATAACAGCCAACGTACTTTCAGGGCGGCGCTACGTGCGAGTACGCGCGCGCATGCGGCTGGTGGGGCCGCGCGTACTGGGCGGCGGCCGCGGCGGCGCAGGCGCTGGCGCTGCTGGCCGACTACTGGCTCACGCGCGCCACTGCTAAGAACGCGCAAGCGCCCCTCACTGATGAAGAGGTACTTTTTACACATTCCTATGAAATTACTAGATTTTTTTCAGCCCCATTAATTTAAATACAAAAAACTTTTTGGAAATGAAATGCACATACCTACTCGTAGGTAGTTAATATTTATAGGCAAAACAAAAAAAAATACATCAATCATCAAGAGTTGCAATCTTACCTTTTTTTCCGTAATGAAATGCTTTCGCGTACACACTGGCCACTAGTCAGTTTTAATGTGGAGCTCTTCAGGCCAAAAGGGCGGGGCCTATACCCAGTATACCCACTATACTGGGTGGTTTTATAAAACCCATCAATGTCCTCCCAAGTTCAATGGAACGGAACTGCGAGTTATCTAGTGCCCTATTAGCCTATGTTCATGCCAATATCAGTACTAGCATTAATACCATACGCCATACGTAGGCAAATTACGTTCCATTCATTAGGAAACGCTGAAAAACGGCGTGTTATGACAACATCAATATAGGTACACCCATTACCTTGCCATCTCCCCCAGATTCTTAGAAAGCTTTAACAAACTCTCTAATATCCAGATGTGGTGGAGCGTGCGCTCTTACGCCGGCTGGTGCTTATGCGTGGTGGTCTGCGGCGGGCTAGCGCAGTGCGCGGGCGGCGCGGCGGGCGCGCGGGCACGACGCGCGTTGCACGAGCGACTGCTGCACGCGGCATTGCACGCGCCACTGCACCACCACCGCTCCGCCGCGCCCGCTGCGCTCCTGCACCGCTTCTCGGCTGATGTGCAGGTCATAGATAGGGTGAGTTTTTTTTACCAACGGAGCAGGCTCTTGGCCAGCATCTCACTCGATGGACAATGATGATCAGACCAAAGTTGAAAGCTAGCTTCCTCAACCACATACTTAGGACATGGCTATCTTATCTCCAACTGCTGAAATACAACAGTGCTGTTACCGTTATTGTTGTTATAACAGACTTAGGTAAGTTTTTGGTATCTATCCAGGCGGACTTAGGACAAGCCCTAATAACAGCCCAATCGAGCGGAAATCGCGGGAGGCGCAGGATCGGTCTTTGTGGAAATCCTTGGGGGTGACCTTTGTCCAGCAGTGGACGTCTTTCGGCTGAAACGAACGAACGAACGAGCAGAAAAACTGCAAGTCTTCTTCATCCTTTCACATATTTTTTTCCGTAAGAGACAAAGCTAGAGCAACAGTTATACTTGCACTTACTTTACAACCTCTTTTAAGTTGAATTGTGATGATTTCCAGAAATTACCCATAGCAGTCAGCCGCTGGGGGCAGCTAGCCCTGCTGTGCGTCGCGGCGCTGCTCGTGAACGCGATCGCGTCCCCGTGGAGCCTGCTGGCGCTGCTGCCAGCCGTGGCTCTGTACTTCACGCTGCAGTCCGTCTACCTCTCCAACGCTAGGTGGGTCCGAGTACTTAAGTAGATAACCAGCACTTAGGAGCTGTAAGATTCCACTGGCTGAAATGACATACGAGAAGATTATTTAAATAAAGTTTGCGGTATCCAAAACGGTAACTGCTTGAAACTCCTAACTGGCCTGACCCCAGGAAGATACCAGGAAGACTGCCTACACAAGAACAGGCACACAATATAGAAACGAAACGACATAATTTATCCAGCGGCGGTCTTATTGCCAAAAGCGATCTATTCTAGATAACCTTAAAATTAAGAGTTAGTAGCTACCGTCACTATACTCGTATTAGATTTTCTCAAAATGAGTAAGAACAGCAGAATCTATCCGCCGACTAAAAATATGCGAGGTTTCTCAGGGGTTCTTTACTAGAGTAAAGAATTCGGTTTCTTTACTCATGCTATTCTCCCAGGGAACTGCAGCGCACCGAGGCGCTGAGCGCGGCGTCGGTGGTGGCGCTGGCGGCGGAGACGAGCGCGGGCGGCGGCGCGGTGCGCGCGGGCCGCCTGCAGCCACACATGCGCGCCGCCCTGCTCGCGCGCCTCGACGTCAACAACAACGCGCTGCTGCTGCTCAACGCCGCCAACCGCTGGCTGGGGCTCACGCTGGTAACTGGATAGTCTTTGAAGTCCCAGTTATATGAGAGACAGTCTAAGCTAAGAGCCGCACATGCGCGCCGCGCTGCTCGACGTCAACAACAACGCGCTGCTGCTGCTCAACGCTGCCAACCGCTGGCTAGGGCTCACGCTGGTAACTTAAAAAGATTTTAAACCGGGCAGTCTTTGAAGTCCCGGTTATATGAGAGACAGTCTAAGCTAGGAGCCGCACATGCGCGCCGCGCTGCTCGACGTCAACAACAACGCGCTGCTGCTGCTCAACGCTGCCAACCGCTGGCTGGGGCTCACGCTGGTAACTTTAAAATATTTCAAACTGGATAGTCTTTGAAGTCCCGGTTATATGAGAGACAGTCTAAGCTAAGAGCCGCACATGCGCGCCGCGCTGCTCGCGCGCTTCGACGTCAACAACAACGGGGCTCACGCTGGTAACTGCAAAATATTTCAAACCGGGCAGTCGCGGTTATATGAGAGACAGTCTAAACTAAGAGCCGCACATGCCGTCAACAACAACGCGCTGCTGCTGCTCAACGCTGCCAACCGCTGGCTGGGGCTCACGCTGGTAACTTTAAAATATTTCAAACTGGATAGTCTTTGAAGTCCCTGTTATATGAGAGACAGTCTAAGCTAAGAGCCGGACATGCGCGCCGCGCTGCTCGCGCGCCTCGACGTCAACAACAACGCGCTGCTGCTGCTCAACGCTGCAACTGCTGGCTCGGGCTCACGCTGGTAACTTTAAAATATTTCAAACTGGATAGTCTTTGAAGTCCCAGTTATATGAGAGACGGTCTAAGCTAGGAGCCGCACATGCGCGCCGCCCTGCTCGCGCGCCTCGACGTCAACAACAACGCGCTGCTGCTGCTCAACGCTGCCAACCGCTGGCTGGGGCTCATGCTGGTAACTTTAAAATATTTCAAATTGGGCAGTCTTTGAAGTACCGCTGGTATGGGAGCGGCACGAGGGTGACATAGACATATTATCACGTGACAGAGCATATAAATCTGAAGAAGATTTGAATTCTCGCTGATGTTTGACGTTACAAAAATAGGTATCTTCCCGTGCCGCTCTTATACCGCAGGCACTGACTGAGTTAAGTTATCATCATTCAACCAGTATCTGGACATGCGTCATCATTGTTGAATGTCGCTTCTTTGGCACGGGGATAGTGTCACCAGTACCTAATTCTTTTTATGCTATCTATATTTCAACTTGTAGCATTGACTATTATTATTTTAAATTGTTCTTTACAGGACTTGGTAGGCGCCGCCACAGTATGCGTTTCAATCGGCGTGGCGTTACACGGCGGCGGCGGCGGCGCGGTGGCGGGGCTGGCGGGCGCGTACTCGCTACTGCTACCGGCGTACTTGGCGCACCTGGCCAAGTGCCGCGCCGACCTCGACCTGCAGCTGGCCGCCGTAGAAAGAGTACGAGCGGACACCAACGTGCCGCAGGAGGATTATAGAGAAGACTGTGAGTACTTACTTATAACTTGAGTTGTTTACGGAGATATGGTCGGTGTAACTAGCGCACCTGGAAAAGTGTTGCGCCGACCTCGACCTCCAGCTGGCCGCCGTCGAGAGAGTACGAGCGGACACCAACGTGCCGCAGGAGGATTATAGAGAAGACTGTGAGTACTTACTTATAACTTGAGTTGTTTACGGAGATATGGTCGGTGTAACTAGCGCACCTAGAAAAGTGCCGCGCCGACCTCGACCTGTAGCTAGCCGCCGTCAAGCGGGTCAGTCAGAGCGGAGAGCAACGTGTCCAGGGTTGGTTGACTCTAGTTACTTACGGAGATATGGTCGGCGTACCTGGCGCACCTGGATAAGCCGCGCCGATCTCGAGTTACAAGTCGTCGAAAAAGTGCGAGCGGATACCAAACGTGCCGTAAGAGGATTATAGAGAAGACTGTGAGTACTTACAAGGTTTGGTTGATTCAAATGAATAAGGTATTTTACGGCAATAAGAACTTTCTTTCTTAACTAGCTATGTGCAAAACTCCAGCTGATCATATCTGCTTATTTTGTTTTTGTATCATTTCAGGTGCAATACCGTCTGGGTGGCAGAGAAATGGAAAAATGGACTTCGAAAACGTAAACATTCAACATGATCCAGATTCACAACCAATCCTGAACAACATAAACATCTCTATCGCGCCAGGAGAAAAGGTAACTATAATTTTCGGAAATTAATTTTGAATCTTTATCACTATCTGGTGAATGGAATCGAAAATGAATGGGGCTAACCAACAGAAAAAACACTGGTTGCACTACTACTGCCAGCTATTTTCTTGAGCTCGATCTATCGAGCAGGCGGGCGTTCTGCTACGTTTTTTTCAATAAAGATGTTTCGCAGGTTGCAGTGTGTGGTCGAAGCGGCAGCGGCAAGTCTACGCTGGTTCTAACCTGCGCTGGCGCCACAACTATCCGAAGCGGGCGCTTGCTCATCGACGGCGCCGACGCCACGCAGGTCCCACTACGGGCACTAAGACACCGGGTGGTGGTCCTGCCACAGGAGGCCATGATGTTCTCTGGCACTCTTCGGGAGAACTTGGATCCGCTAGGAGTGCATACAGATGAAGAGATCTGGCAGAGCCTGAGAGCTGTTGGTTTACAAGACTTCGTCACCGCTCAGCCCGCTGGATTAGGTAAGGATTACAATTTGCCTACTACATTTTTATGAAACTGAAATAATTATTTATCGATATGTTACTGTAAAAGCTCGAACTACGGTTAATCTTAAGATTTAAGTGTAAGTCTTAAGATTAACCGAGATGAGTTGGTAAATGTAAGTATTTCTGAAAATACGACGATTTTTTCGAGCTTTTACCATTCGAATTCAGTTTATGCTAGGTTTTACCTCTGTCAGCTGGTAGATGTTGGTTTTAGGAATAAAACAATGAGTAATGCTTAATTACTTACTTTCATCAACTATTAGACAAAACAGGTATCTACATAGTATTATAAAGGTATCATGATAGTAATAAGTACAAACTAATACCAACTTATTTAAATTATTTGCAATCATTTCTTTTTCTTGTGTTTTGGTGTTCACATTTTTACTGTTTCCTTTTTTTATTCCTTCTGACTACATTACCAACGATGCTGTTTTCGCATAAGTTTACAGAACTTTTAATTAGTAAGATTATAACAAAAATGATAATACCATGGAGTCCATGGAATCGGATAAAAATCGGAATTATAATAACCCAGCATTGATAGTAGCGCATATCTGTAAATATCATACCTATCTAGGACACTAAAATTTTGTACTGCATGCATCCTACTAATATTATAAACGCGAAAGTTTGTGTGGATGTTTGTTACTCTTTCAAGCAAAAACTACTGAACTGATTTTGATGAAACTTTACAGTATTATTGTTTCTAACCCAGAATAACACATTTTATAGGCTATAATTTATGGCGATCTGTGACAAATAAAATTACACGCGGGTGAAGCCGCGGGCAAAAACTAGTATTTTATATGACATGATCTTACGTTGCTAAAGAAAAAACAAGGCAGTGACATCATGGTTTGTTTAATTGTATTAAAATGAAATGAAAAGTGATGCCGTGGTCTTTCTTTTTAGTTCTTAAATTGTTCGTACATTTAAACAATACAAAAAGGCTGCGCTCGGGTAATGCGTCGATAGGACCGATTGTTACCTGTCAAAAATGCTTGTTTGTTTTTCAACATTTACCGTGCCATTAATGTAAATCCTAAGATTTACCAACGAAATGGTGGTAAGAGTTCGAATCGCAAACCTTTTGGGACATTTACCATTAGGAATTGGTAGATCTTAGGTTTTACTGGAATATCTTAGGATTTACTGCAATTCGAGCTTTTACAGTAACAGATACATACGTCAGTAGCGGCGTAAGGGGGGGGCGGTGGGGGCGGTCCGCCCCGGGTGCCAAGCATCAGGGGGTGACAAAAGTCGCGCAATTAGTACTCACTGACGCATCTGCATGGCAAGGACGGTTGTGATGTCATGACAGGGGGGGTGCCATTCTGGGATGCCTTTTAGGCTATAATTTATATTATGACGGGGGGGGGGGGAGGGGGTGCCGCCCCGGGTGCCAACTTATGCTACGCCGCCACTGACATACGTACAGGTTTTATACAAAAGTTATGAGAACTTATACGATTTCGAAATTCATGGTGTGCACACGGAAAAGACCAACAGCTAACCAAATAAATGTAAATCTTTTTTTTTTCTTGGCTTTCACGGTTTGCGAAATAAAACTTTGCTAAACATGGGGGATTATTGATAAATAAGTCAGTGTGTTGTGCAATGTGCATGTGCAAGAAGATGTAAACCGTCCACACAAAGAATTCTATTTGTTCAATATGCAACTGAAAGGTCACTGCTAGTGCACGAGGCTAAGAAGTGCGCCGTGAAATGTATGGGCTTATCGCGTAAAATCGATAAACAGTTTATCATGGCGCGCATCCTACGCTTTTATTAATAACATCCTGTACTTAGGTAAAAGGCTAACCAAAAGTGGTTAAATGTAAAGCCTGGTCCGTGAGCACGTAGAATCCCGTCCAATGACCCCAAGCTACCCATCCTTATCGCTCGCGCGTAATTATATTGCTGTCGCGACTGTGCGACGCGCGCCCGCAGTGAGTGTGCGAGCGCGACAGCAACATAATTATGTGTGAGCGACAAGGATGGGCAGCTTGGGGTCATTGGACGGGATTCTACGTGCTCACGGACCAGGCTTTAATTGATTACCTACTTGTAATATTTCAGAGTGCGGCGTGGGCCGCGGCGGGTGCTCTTGGAGCGGCGGACGCGCGGCGCGAGCGTGCGCTGCACGGGCGGCGCTACACGCGCGGCTGGCGGGCGCGCTCGTGCTGGACGAGCCGGCGGCAGCGCTGGACGCGCCGGCCGAGCGCGCGCTGCTGGCAGCACTGGCTGCGGCCGCGCCCAACACCACCATCATTACCGTAGCTGTAAGTAACGAAATTCTCACGTCCGAAATACCGCAGTGTCTCAAGTCAAAAGTATTTGACCAGTGTGTTTGCCAGTGATGGTGTATGGCTCTGAGACGTGGTCGCTTACTATGGGCCTCATAAGAAGGCTCAAGGTCACCCAAAGAGCGATGGAGCGTGCTATGCTCGGAGTTTCCCTGCGTGATCGAATCAGAAATGAGGAGATCCGTAGGAGAACCAGAGTGACTGACATAGCCTGCAGAATCGCTAAAATCAAGTGGCAGTGGGCGGGGCACATAGCTCGAAGAGCTGATGGCCGCTGGGGCAGGAAAGTTCTTGAGTGGCGACCACGAGCTGGAAGACGTAGCGTGGGCAGGCCTCCCACTAGGTGGACCGACGATCTGGTGAAGGTCGCGGGAAGTACCTGGATGCAAGCGGCGCAGGACCGGTCTTTGTGGAAATCCTTGGGGGAGGCCTTTGTCCAGCAGTGGACGTCTTTCGGCTGAAACGAACGAAGTAACGACTATTTGATAGCAGCCATTATGGAATCAATTGGAACTGGAATTAGAGAATTTCCATAGTAGAACGGCGATACTGTTCAAATCTTCGACTCGCCTCCATAAAGCATTCCCAATAATTCCAACTACAGTCTACATTACGGTCCTGAAAACAAAGATTCGAATTTTTAGTAGCAAATAAATTATAATACATGGTTCGTAAAAGTGATTTCATAGCCACTGCCAGCCTTATACGAATAGGGAATCCAATGAAATAGGTAAAGCCTGGTCCGTGAGCACGTAGAATTTTGTTATGTTGCTGTCGCGCTCGCACACTCACTGCGGGCGCGCGTCGCACAGTCGCGACAGCCGCGACAGCAATATAATTACGCGCAAGCGATAAGGATGGGTATCTTGGGGTCATTGGACAAAATTCTACGTACTTCACGGACCAGGCTTTAGTCACCTTCTCACAGCTCTTAAAGAGCATGTAAATCGTCTAGTCATACCTTTACCTTTCAGTATCAGAAAACCCCTTAACTTTCAGTATCAAAAAAATTACATCTCCAATGGAGATTCTCCATGTCTCTAAATCAATTAACCAATTCACTCACTTCCAGCACCGCATCTCGTCCGTCCGCGGCTACGACCGCGCCGTGGTGCTGGACGAGGGCCGCGTGGTGGAGCAGGGCGCGGTGGGCGCGTTGCTCGCGCAGCCCGCCTCGCGTCTCGCGCGAATGCTCGCCGCGCACCGCACGCCTTGACATCTAATGTACCCGCCGCATCGCACGCCCTGACCTCTGCTGTACCCCCCATCCCCTCGGCCCGCCCGTCATCGGCCTTTAGACTCCCCGCAGAATACACTTTTAAGCTAAGCGTCCACTTGTCGGTATGTCGGAAACACATCGTATCGGATGTGCGATGCGTACGATGCGGACAGGTGGACGCACTTATATGAGTTTCCATATAAATAATACTACGATCCGTTGCGTGCGATACGTCCGATGCGTACGATACCGACATGTGGACGCTTAGCTTTAGCCGGCCGATAGTTGGGCCCGATTCTAATTTGTATAGAAACGGCCGATACCAATGTGCGCACTTTTATACATGTCCTTACTGAATAACAGCCCGACCCAACTATCGGCCGACAAACAGTCGGTAGTCTGCGCCTAGGCTAATACGACCTACAAAACTACCTACAGAATGAAGTGCAAATCTCGGTCCATTTTGAAGCATACATTCGAGGCTTAGATTGGTTAAACGTTATAGACCGATCACAAGACAGAATCTATCTAATTGAATCTAGTTTTGAGCTACGTTTTTTAATACGGATGAACGACTATGGACCGTATAAATCGCGTAGAAAAAAAATATGTTAAGTTTTTCTAATTAAATTGTTTGTAAGTAACTAATTGACGGGAGTGGGAGCGATGCGTACTTTTGCTCCGGAAATGTTTGAAGATTATGTACTCGCATAGTATAGAGAAACATATATACTCGATTATTGTTTTTCATACATGGTTATTTGGTAAAAGGGTGGGGTCATAAGAAGTATGGCGATAAAATTAGTGCTATATAGACATTTGAGTAATACCATAAGGTAGAAAATACATAAGTATCTATCGTGATGAATCAATTTATAGAGGTGTAATACCTACATACCTGTTAAAATAAATATGACATGGCGTCTAATAATAAGGCATCCTTATGCATATAGAGCTGGTGCGAATGTAAAACGAATGATATGAACCGTACGCTTACAACAAACCGTCGATATTATCAATTTATGTTTTCATCGACGTCAACGTTAATTTCTACTTTTTGCTGTCCATTTTATAAATCTGAGTAAACTAATTACTGAGTAAGCTATTATATTCTACCGAATATAATACAAATATGGACTGTTAGCTTAATTTTAAGATCTAAAAAACTTTTTAGTTATTTATAATATTATTTTAACTCAAAAGTTTGCTTTTAAGAGCATCCAGCATTTACATCTTTTAAGGATGTTATTTAATACTACTTTACAATGAAAAGTACTACCCACTTAATAATGTCCAATAAGAAAATTAGCCAATTATTTCCTAACAATCAATAATTAGTGTTATTTACAAATTGATTTCCTTCTATTTATTTTCCCACCAATATAACGTAGGTTATTTATGTCGTTATTAAATAAGAACTGACTTACATGATATAATAATATGTGTTCAATATAAAGGTTCAAATAAAATGCGTGTGTTTTGTTTCAAATTGTATTTCCAATAGAACAACAATTGCACATAACTGTTTAAAGCTCAGGAGCCGCCGCCCACGGGCCAGAGTCAACGATACTTCATAAAATTATATCACTACATAACAATTACAACAATATTTACGTTGGCACCGATTTATATAGTATTATAAAAACATTTGTGTCTCTTCACAAATCATATAAAAATATTTACTTAAAGTACTTACTTACGTAAATATACTTACAGTAACTAAATTAAATCTCGACACATTTTATAAATTCATCTTTCCACTTATTGACTATATTGGTATTCACGTCTAGTCTGACAGGACGGGCGTTTTCATCTAAAATTTCATAGTTACTCGTACATTATTATCACACAGAAAGCTATTAAACATACATTTCATATAGGTATTGAGGATTGTTATACATCTTTGGTAAAAAAACAACTTTTGATACAAGTATCTGAATCCAGTTATCGTGAAGGTTTGCAGCTAACCAAGACTAACAAGGCACTGAGTGAGGCCACACAGTTCAAACACATGTCAAGTATACTCAAATAATGTACAAATCAAGAGGATATGAAAGTTCAGTCAAAAATAGTAATAAAGTGGTACGTTCAGCACTCACTAAGCTAATTTCATATTTTATAAAACATTTTTTGCAATATAACAGCGCCAAAAAGCTACTAAACATTTTCTCCAATTCAACACATCTTTTGTACGTAAATATAGTATTGAATTTTGAAGCTACATAACTAGTGAACACCAACATTTTCTAGTTCATAATTTTCGATTTTGCAACTCTTATAATTACCACTTCCATTACTATGTGGTAGCAACATAGCTGGGCATTAACTCGTTAATCCGTTAATCGTTAATTAACGAAGTTAACATTTCTATTAACGGATTAACTTTTAAGTTAACTTTAAAAATTGTTAACGGACTCGTTAACTTCCGTTAAATTATCCTAAGTCCGTTAATCGTTAATCCAGTACCTACTATTTACCAAAAAGATACAGCAGACACGCTGAAAAACACTAGAAAAACGCGTTCTGACAAGTACGTTCGGGCTTCCAGAACTTCCAGAACCCAAAACAACAGTCTTTGTAACCAGAACGAAACGATATAAAAAATGCTATTTTTTATTTAATTACAAGCTTTATATTTTTCTTCACTTGTTAGTACAAAGTGTGTGGGACAAATCTTGCAACTGAATTTAAGAGCAGTTCTCAACCGATTGAGCTGAAATTTGGTATAATTATGTAAGTACGATGAAAATGCAATGTTATGGTACCATTAAGCTGGTCTGATGATGGAGTCAGGAGGTGGCCATAGGAACTCCTAAATGAAAAGGCATCATCGCATCGATTTTGGGTTCGTTGGATTTGTCTTTTCGAGCACTTTTGTACTAGATGATGTCCAGGGTCCTGATGATGGAGTCAAGAGGTGGCTATAGGAGTTCCTAAACGAAACGGTGGAAACTTATCGAGTTTGGGTTTGTTGGATTTGTCTTTTCGATCACTTTGGTGCTAAATTGTATTGTAATTGAACCAAGGCACTGAGATTGAGATACTATAGACTAAGAGCTGGTGAACGCTAGACCTACGTCATTATAAAAAAGCTGAAAGTTTGTCAGCGTATGCTCCCAATATAGGTTAAAATGTTGGATTATGAAGTTTAGGTCATCGTTGCTTTGGCAGCTATCCTAAAAAACTGTCTGGCAAGGAGTTGGAACTGTCAAAACTGTGTGGCTGATGTCGAACCAACTTCTAATCATTGCCCAAATATTATACATAAAAATCAGATTTTATAGTTAACACATGATAATAAAACGAAAAAAGTAATTGTATGCAAGGTTCAAATAATTTCGAAAGCTTGTATCGCGCACGGAATTTATTCCTCTTTTATGTTTGCGCTACGTGCTACAAGCTTTCGAAATTATTTGAACCTTGCATACAATTACTTTTTTCGTTTTATTATCATGTGTTAACGGATTAACGATTAACGTTAACTTGCGTTAAATCTTGCTAAATGTAACGTTTTAACGTTTAACGAAGTTAATTTTTTTATTAACGGTTTAACGATTAACGAAGTTAACTATTTGATTAACGGTGCCCAGCTATGGGTAGCAACATGGCATGTTTATGAATGAATGGCAGTCGACCACCGCTGTTTAATATGGCAATCCTCGAAAGGTTAAGTCACGTCAGAGTTATTATAAGCCCATCAAATAACCAGGTGAACCATTTTCTTCAAATAAGTAACGTGCAAAAAAATCAACAACTTTTACGAAATATTTGTACATTATCACAGTCTTGGATCAGAGCCAGAAAATAGTAATAAAATCCAATTTTCAACGTAGATATCAACAACGTTACGAAATATAAATCTAAATAGAGGCAATGAATGGTTCATGTGAACAATTTTGATAATATCAATATTCAAAAATATTTTAGATCATCTGTTTTAATTACAAATCTGTAAATAAGCTCTGCACCAAACCGCAATTATAAAATTATATTTCTTTACAATAATATTCAATTAGTAACTAAATATTTCTAGCTTCTTTACCGGTGAGTTGCACATCCATAGTGGAGGCAGAATCAAACAAAATAACATTAATTCATTCAGTAAGTCACCAGGGAGATTTAATATCGTCTTATTATAAAATATATAAATATAGAATTATTCACAGAAATATATTTATAATACAATAAATATCCCTTTTACACCGTGCTGTGGAAACATGTTTAAATCATAATAATAATTGTGATATATTAAAATAGAACGGAAAACTTATATTTGTTGACGATAGAAGAAAAAGGAGACTCCAAAAAAGTATAGTTTAGGAGATCAGAATAGTCTATAGTCGCTGTATTTTATCCATTCGTTCCTACTGAAACAGACTCAAATACCATGCTGTCTAGTCATTATAGGTTTAGCTCTTAACTCAGTCAGTACCTGGGGTATGGGAGCGGCACGAGAGTGTGTTTGTTGACATCTAACGTCAGCAAATCTATTTCAGATTTGTATGCTGCACGTCAAAACATGTCAATGCCACCCTCCCGTGCCGCTTCCATGTCTCAGGCACTGGCTTAGTTTGCGTTGGACCTTCGTCCATTTGCGACGACAGAGTAATGGTGCGTCCACACTGGGCGAACGGGCTCACGCGCTAACTCGACATCCTGCTCACTCAAGAGCAAGGTGAGCAAGATGACCTGCATGCCGCGCGATCCCGTTCGCCCTATGTGGACGCACCATAACATCTCGTTTTATAAATACTATAGTTCGAGATGTCACACTTTCGTCGCAAGTGGATATCAGTAACCTTATGGTCGGTGTAAAAGGGTTTTATAGTAATGAGGGCTATCGTTTTTATACTTAACAGTTGGCACCCCTGGCGATTGACAGGACCTTACTCTACAGTGGCGCCATCTTGATAAGTACAAATGCGATAGTCCTCCTACCACTTTAGCGCTCACCAGTTGGTGCCACTGTCTTCGCTACTAGCAAGTGACAGGACCTTACTCTACAGTGGCGCTAACTGGTGAGCGCTAAAACGATAGCCCTCATTGCGAGCTCACCGGTAAAGAGGCGTGTGGTGTCGCGCTAGGTGGGCTCGCTTTTGACGCCGGCGCTGGAGGCAGCCGCCTGGCGCGCTTCCTCGGGCAGACGCTCCGGGTTGGTCAGGATGTCTGTCGTCGTGCACAGGACTCGGAGCGAGTTGAGCACAGCTGGAATGGAGTTGGCACGTTGAAAAAGGTGAGAAAGATGATCAATACAACAGTAAAACTTTTAAGTTCATTCAAAACTGTTGTAATATTGAGTTGTGTCATTGTGTCACAATGGTCACCCACAGCACAGAAGTTCACTGCTGAACATAGACCTCCCCCAATGATTTCCATAGTCTCCGGGTTGGTAGCGGCTTGCATCCACCGCCTTCCCGTTGCCTTTATGAGGTCGTCTGTCCTATTTTCGTGTTTTACATTAGTTGACAAATCAAGTATTTTATGGAAATATTAGCGTTATTTACCATAATAATATACAATTTATTTAAAACTACCACACGGTTTTGTTATGGTGCCTTGCTTTTCTCTCTAGAGTTTTCTTGCCTTGTCTCCTAAATAGTTTTATATCTGGCACTTAGCCAGAAGGATATCTTAGACTTGTCATGCTCACTAAAATGTCTCTGGGGTAGTGGCGTGTGAGGCGGGTCGTTACATTCCCTATAATATGGTCGAGTGAAGCGATGGCTGGTTCACACGTCATGTCTGTGAACAGGCGCTGCCTTCGGGGACTGGTCAAGGAAAGATATACCTGACATAAAATATATGTATCAAAACGCAACAATTAACCTAGAAATTAGCACGGCACTAAAGAAATTTATTCAAAACTGCCACGCGGTCTCGTGCTAGATGGGCGTCTTAAAGGCCACCTTCTATCAACGGGAGCGCGTGGTAAGTAACTTGCTTCTGAATGTATGTAACTTCCTACTTTTTTATTTTTAAACCGGCAGACAGTGGTGACTGAGTTTGTTGCGGCGCTTCTTCTCAGCACTTGCCAAATGTTTGTCTCGAAGCGCTGGTAGGGCAAAAAAAGAATGAGACATGTATAGGCTCCTTAAGAGCATTTGACGATTTGCAAGAACTAATTTAATTAGTCTAAACAAATAAAGATAATTTTGATTTTGATTTTGATTTTGATTTTGATAAATATGTGTCCAACAAAAAAGTCATGAATGAAAGATATTTTAAAGTCACAATGTCTTTTTAAACGCATGCGCTGAACGAGTCCACCAGCGCCGCGGCTACCACGCTAAACTGAACCTTGCGCTAAGGAACATAAAGCCTATATCTCACCTGGCCTCATCTCCACGAGCGAACAGTGCTGCTCGGCCCACAGCAGCGTGGTGCGCACGAGGTCGGCGCCGCTGCCGCACGACACGCATGCGCTGAACGAGTCCACCAGCGCCGCGGCTACCACGCTAAACTGAACCTTATGTTAAGGAACTTAAAGCTGATGTTGCATTGGCTGTAGTTCGAAAAAACAAATGCTTTTTGATCCCAGAGATTTAATTAGATATTTTTCGACACTTTTAGGTTGATTTTACTACTAGGTTGATTTTTTTAAGGAGTAGTTAGGAGTGGCCGTAGTAAGCCTTTCCCCAGTATGGCGCTAATAGGGGTGGCTCCACTTGAAACCCGAGGCCATATCTTCAAAAATCACCTCAGAAATTCAAGCCTAAAATTGCAATCACCCCCACCCTTGTCCTCAAATAAAGGAATACAAACAAATAGATGGTAGCAAAGGCCAAACTTTCAGAAACTTCCTCACCAATTTAAGCATCAAATTGGTAACACACCCACCCTTCGGGACTTCGAATAAATTGTTAATTTCTATCTCCTTTCGATTGTCGATATTGCATTGTTTCTTGTAAAAGGATACGAGCCAATACTTCCAGTTGTGCATGGTGCGGTTGGCCACGTGGCGCGCGAACATCTCGCGCAGGCGGCCGGCGCGCGCGCGCGACACCGGCGCGCCCGTCGCCGGCAGCAGCGAGTGGCAGTTGCTGGGGGAAACAAGACCTTATTGAACAAAGGCAAATGATCATGGTTTTCACAAGAATTTTATGTAAAACAAAGAGATTGCAGAAAATAGTATGGATGCGAAAGTAGGTTTTGCAGAAAATAGTAGGTTAGGTTAGGTTAGAACAGTGACCGTTAACGCGCGAAGGCGAGCGAAGCGTGCCGCCGCCGCGGCAACCTAATCTGCCGAGCGCTAGAATCACCTTTAGTTTCGATAAAAATAATCCCAACTAATATTATAAATGCGAATGTAACTCTGTCTGTCTGTCTGTCTGTTACGCTTTCCCGCTTAAACCTCGCAACCGATTTTGATGAAATTTGGCATAGAGATAGTTTGAGTCCCGGGAAAGAACATAGGATAGTTTTTATCCCGGTTTTTGAAACAGGGACGCGCGCGATAAAGTTTTTCTGTGACAGACAAAATTCCACGCGGGCGAAGCCGCGGGCGGAAAGCTAGTGAAATATGAAAATAAATTTAGAACAAATTTTATATTAACTACGCACTAAACAAAATAATAACCACAAGCTAATTTGTATTCCATTCTATGCACCATCAAATTATTTTGTAAATAGTTTATCGTGAAATATTTTTGCCAAACAATAATTTGCTAAACAATAATATGCCAAAAAAGACATTATTTGCGAATTAAAAGTTTGCAATAAGTTGTTTTGCCAAATGAGAATTTGCCAAATGAAAATTTGCGAAACGTTGTTTGCCATGTGATAATTTGGGAAACGTTTTTTGGCCAAACATTAGTAATCCAAAAACACTTCTATGAAACCTCTACGAGTGTATCAGATGCTTTAGCGCCCAGAATGCTGCGTTTAGGGCGCCTAAATTGTATGAACTTCTATTGTGGCGCAGTTACACTATGTGCAAACTGGAACGAACGCAAGCGCGATCACGCGCATGGAAATATAGGCGACGCACGGAAAAACAAACTGCAATGAGGGTTTTCGCGAATGAAAAATCCGCCAGATGGCAATACGTAGACGCGAGGTCCAAATGCTGCATGATTGGTTATTTTTGACATGACATTGACAGATATGTTAAAATCCACCAATCACGCAGCAGTCAGACCCCACATCCACGTCCCGCCATCTAGCGGATCTTTCATTCGCGAAAACCCTCATTGAGTTCAGATGTTTACACTATCTGATTCGATCAAGTTCGCGCACCTAACCGCGCCATTGAACAAATGCTGCATTGCATCAATCAATTTTATAGAGGAAAGGAAACGCAGCGTTCTGGGCGCGTGGCTCGTTATGACTAGTCTATAACAGAGCGAAGCGCGCGCGCGACACCGGCGCGCCCGTCGCCGGCAGCAGCGAGTGGCAGTTGCTGGGGAAACAAGGCTTTATTGACCAACAACACTTTTATGAAACCACTACGAGTATATCAGATGCTTTAGCGCCCAGAATGCTGCGTTTAGGGCGCACTAAATTCTATAAATTTCTATTATTGCGCAGTTACACTATGAGCAAACTAGAACGAACGCAAGCGCGATCACGCGCATGGAAATATAGGCGACCCACGGAAAAACAAACTGCAATGAGGGTTTTCGCGAATGAAAAATCCGCCAGATGGCAATACGTAGACGCGAGGTCCAAATGCTGCATGATTGGCTATTTTTGAGTTGACATGACATTGACAGATATGTTAAAATCCACCAATCACGCAGCAGTCAGACCCCACATCCACGTCCCACCATCTAGCGGATCTTTCATTCGCGAAAACCCTCATTAAGTTCAGATGTTTACACTATCTGATTCGATCAAGTTCGCGCACCTAACCGCGCCATTGAACAAATGCTGCATTGCATCAATCAATTTTATAGAGGAAAGGAAACGCAGCGTTCTGGGCGCGTGGCTCGTTATGACTAGTCTATACTATAACAGTGCGAAGCGCGCGCGCGACACCGGCGCGCCCGTCGCCGGCAGCAGCAAGTAGCAGTTGTTGAGGAAAACAAGGCTTTATTGACCAACAACACTTCTATGAAGGGATAGATCTAGCGGTTAACCGAGTCAGTGCCTAAGATATAAGAGCGGCACGGGAGTAACAGAGCATACAAATCTGAAGCACGTTCGAAGTCTCGCTGACGTTTGACATCACAAAATCCCATTCTACTCCCATTCCTCTGGTACTGATAGTATATCAGCCGCTCCAGCGCCCAGAAAGCTGCATTTAGGGCATTTAAGTCAAGTTTATTAGTCCTTAATTCAAAAGTCTAATCTATTCGTAGTAGTCGAGTCTAATATTTTGAGATTTGATATCTCAAGTGTTTCATTTCAAAACTTAGCAATTTACTTGAAAAAAAAAACCCAACTTACGATATTGAGTTATTTAAACTTTCTGTTTGTTGCCGAAGACTTTCCATTTCTTCTTTTATTTGATTCCTCTCAGCTTTCAATTGTTTGATATATTCGGCACCTTTTTGTAACATTGCAGCTTTGCTAATCTGTAAATAATCAATTGAAGTTTTTGTCAAGTCACATAAATATCTTATATTAAAATATCTAATAATTCACTTAAATAAGATGCAGTTATAAAAAGATAGGAAAGACATATTTTATTATACACTTTGTTTAAGAGCCATTTCACAAAAATATTCCGCGCGAATTTAGGTAAAAGCTGTCAACGCAACGTCAAAAGAGTAAAAAGAACGCTGAAATGGACAAAAAAATCTTGAGCCGTGACCGTATTAAGACTTGATTTAAGTTATTAATTTTAAGGTAGAATGAGGTATTCAAACTTGATAAATTAATTTAAATTTTTAATAGAGTTTAATAAGTCTTTTATATTTCGATTCATAATGAAACACTAATAGGTATAATATGTAAAATATATATTAAGTACAAAATAAAGTTTTTTTCACTATGTGACTGACATAGTGAAAAAAAAATCTGCCCCTTCACAGCTCCATCATCGGGCCCTGGATACGAAATATTCGTCAAGACGAATCACACAAGCCCAAACTCCATAGGGTTCTATTGTTTTGTTACGGAGGTGGCCATTGCATCTCCTCCAGATCCATTATCAGATAGAGCTAAGAAATAAATAAATAAATATTATTATAAGTAAACAAATAACTAAAATAATTCATCTTACTATCTTACTTCTTACTAATATTATAAATACGAAAGTTTGTGTGGATGTCTGGATGTTTGTTACACTTTCACGCAAAAACTACTGAACAGATTTTGATGAAACTTTACAGTACAGTACAGCAGTACTAGGCAGTCTGTGTTCAACTATCACTCGGGTCGGACGTTCCTATCGCAAGACCTTTGGTTCACTCAGTTCCGATACGACTCTAGTGCTGTGTGTAATTATTTTCGTACGACACGAACGCACGTAAACGTCACGGCGGGAAAAATGACACAGGTCCTGCCTTGACGGGCGCTCGCGCCATACTAATCGATGTCGGCTTGCGCATTGTAATTTATACTGATATTCACATCAATATTTTGACAAAGTGGTTACTAATATTTAAACAATAACTGTAGAAATCAATTCTACAATGAATATTCTTTATTTTGGGATACTTTTATTGCAGTTATTGCTGTGTTTTTAAACCAAAAACCACGATCAAAATGTGACGTTAATCTTCAAATTTGCCAAATTATTTTTAGATTTTACTCAATAATGGTAATGAAATTCAAGAATCTATTTCATTAATGGACTACAAGAATATATGTCCGATGATTACTATATATTTTTAAGCTTATTATATGAGCATAAATAATAGATACAGGACTTTGAAAATGAGTCTGCGGCAATTTTTCCGTAAAATGGTTGTGGGAGATGGGGCACTGTGAATTAAGCAAAAGAATTTTAGTAAATCCGTTTCATTAATGGTCAACACCAAGGATTGACCTATCTTTCGCAGTTATTAAATAATCTCTGGGTGTTGCTTAAGATAGTAATTCATGCTTCCAAAATCTTAGAATTTCGCACGAAAATGTAAAATGGCTCTTAATAAATAAATTCTTACGTATAAACATTATCACAGAGGTCTCTTTCCAATCTCACATCTTCAATTTTAAAAGCAATACTATGTATTTAATCAGGGTAATGTCACTCCGCAGTTTAGTTATGTTTAGATGGTGCTCCTACCAGGAAGAAGACCTAAGGTCAGTAAGGATCAGTAAAAATCAGTAGGATCGCCATCGCCATCGCGCACGCAGCCATGTCCATAAGACACGACACGTGACGTTAAAGTTGCATGCAGTCAAACAAAGAAGGTTCGAATGTCGTCGGCATAAGGCCTCCCGCGCACTAGGCAGTCTGGCTGCCGCAGCCTGACCGTGACAGCCAATTATATGAATACTCTTTTCTGTCTAGTGCGCGGGCTTCATGGAGTGTTCATAGAGCGGATTGGCTGCCATAGCCAGGCTGCCTAGTGCGCTGAGGTCTAAGGTGCTTTATCGTCCTCACCTTGGCGGCGGGGTTGGCGTTGAGGTGCGGGATGAGCGCCTGCAGCGTGTCGAAGCCGTTCTTGATGTTGTAGCGGCGCTTCTGCTCGGCGTGCAGGTGCGTGCGGCGCGGCTCGCGCGGGGAGCCGGCTCGCGGCGAGCCCGGCGACGTGGGCGGCGACAGTGACTGCGCATACGGAGCATATTGTTTCATACACTATACACATACATTATGTTCAGTGGACCACAGACCCAGCTACCCATCTCCGTTTTTTCTCTCGCTCTCATCTAATGGCGATTCTTTGCGATAAAACGAGACATAATGACCGGAAACGGGGAGCTGGAAGTGTAGCCCAAAATACTATGTTTATGTTAAAAATTACCTAAAATTTTTACAGTAAAATTCACTAATTGAGACTTGCAAGCAACTCAACCTTTCAATACATTCCTAAGTAGATATTTTATGACTTTTTGGTACCAATGATTAACGGACTCTTTTGATAGTTAATTTGAAAATATACGTCAGTGCATTTGCGCGACACAGCACTATGAGATGCTCGCAGCAGCGCCGCCCTAAGGGCCCTCGCCCACGGCGACTTTTTGTAGGATGCAATCGCGCTGCTGTAGCGCGTTAGTAGCGGGTTGGCATCACTTCTGAAGCGCGTTGCCAATGCGACTAACGCGCGTTAGTAGCGATGTTGTCGCTCGTTTACAAAACACGCGACAAAGTCACCGTGAGCGAGGGCCCTAATGCGATACAGAATGACAACAACCCCACTACGCATTGTAACGCGCCGTATAGTGCAACGCGGAGCCGCTCAAATGCGGCCCGCCCATTAAATAACATATATTATAAGACAAATAAATATTTCTATTTCTATTTCATAAATTAATCAATGAAACTCATTGGAAAAAATATTGTTTAAAAAGAACAAAACAAGTCAGTTAAATAATTTTTCGATTGAAATATTATACAAAACTCCATAAACTAACATTATGTTACATAATATAATTATGTAGTTTATGGAGTTACTAACCGGATGTGGTGACATTATATCACTGCCAATAGGCGAGGGCTGGCCTTTGCGAATTGGGGACTTCGGATCCGATCCTCCGGCGACTTCCTCGTTACTTCCCATTTTGTACACGCTTTTAGCTGGAAGGGGATGACGGAATCATTAGTAAACCTATTTCATATTTTACTGAAAATATACTAAAATAATGGTATGCAAAAAAGCTTAACAGTGTGCGTAAGATTCACAAGTGTATGAATTGTAGCATTGAGCAAATATAGTTCGAATGCCATAGGCATAAGGTATATTGTTGATGGACTATGGTGATCAGATAAACTACGCTTGACAAAAAGTCCCGGGTTGATTAAATATTCATCTTATGTCCATGTGAGTGTAGAGGCTATGGAGGGATTGTAAAGACTATGGAGGGAGTGTAGAGACTATGGAGGGAGTGTAGAGACTATGGAGGGAGTGTAGAGACTATGGAGGGAGTGTAGAGACTATGGAGGGAGTGTAGAGACTATGGAGGGAGTGTAGAGACTATGGAGGGAGTGTAGAGACTATGGAGGGAGTGTAGAGACTATGGAGGGAGTGTAGAGACTATGGAGGGAGTGTAGAGACTATGGAGGGAGTGTAGAGACTATGGAGGGAGTGTAGAGACTATGGAGGGAGTGTAGAGACTATGGAGGGAGTGTAGAGACTATGGAGGGAGTGTAGAGACTATGGAGGGAGTGTAGAGACTATGGAGGGAGTGTAGAGACTATGGAGGGAGTGTAGAGACTATGGAGGGAGTGTAGAGACTATGGAGGGAGTGTAGAGACTATGGAGGGAGTGTAGAGACTATGGAGGGAGTGTAGAGACTATGGAGGGAGTGTAGAGACTATGGAGGGAGTGTAGAGACTATGGAGGGAGTGTAGAGACTATGGAGGGAGTGTAGAGACTATGGAGGGAGTGTAGAGACTATGGAGGGAGTGTAGAGACTATGGAGGGAGTGTAGAGACTATGGAGGGAGTGTAGAGACTATGGAGGGAGTGTAGAGACTATGGAGGGAGTGTAGAGACTATGGAGGGAGTGTAGAGACTATGGAGGGAGTGTAGAGACTATGGAGGGAGTGTAGAGACTATGGAGGGAGTGTAGAGACTATGGAGGGAGTGTAGAGACTATGGAGGGAGTGTAGAGACTATGGAGGGAGTGTAGAGACTATGGAGGGAGTGTAGAGACTATGGAGGGAGTGTAGAGACTATGGAGGGATTGTAAAGACTATGGAGGGACTGTAGAGACTATGGAGGGAGTGTAGAGACTATGGAGTGATTGTGGGGGCTTTGGGGGGAAAGTAAGGGCTGAGAGGGGAATATGGAGGCTGTGAATTTAGTGTAGAGTCTGTGAATTTAGTGTAGAGGCTGTGAATTTAGTGTAGAGGCTGTGAATTTAGTGTAGAGGCTGTTAATTTAGTGTAGAGGCTGTGAATTTAGTGTAGAGGCTGTGAATTTAGTGTAGAGGCTGTGAATTTAGTGTAGAGGCTGTGAATTTAGTGTAGAGGCTGTGGAGGGCGTATGGGAGCTATGAGGGCCGTGACGTGTGTTCAACTGACAGTGCTGCGCGGAGAGCAGCTGCGCGAGCATGACGCTGGCCTGCGGCAGGCTGGGCTCGGACGCCACGCTGTTGAGCGGCGGCCGCGCGCCCGCCTCGCCGCCGCCCGACTGCGAGCGAGAGCGCATGCGCAGCGCGCTCGGCGTGCTCTCGCGGGCCTGCGAAGCAACACGTAAAGGTTCAGCCAAACCAACGCGATCAGCCGGCGTGCAATGCATTTAACGCCCGTATTCACAAACATTACTATGAGGTCTCACAGTGCGCGTGAACGCACAGGGTGACACACGAACCAATCACAGAGCTCTATTCAACGTTGTGTGTTCGATTTGCTGCTTCACTTAAGCAAGCATCGTTTGTGAATACGGGCGTAAGTCTGATCGCCATCGCTGCATGCCGGCTGATCGCGTGTGATCGCGTTGGTTTGGCTGAACCTTAAGGGCGCCTTCCATTTAGACGTTTCGTGTCGAGTGTTTATCGTGCGTTTGCAAAACCGCACACTATTAGTAATTGTCGATTTATTCCGACGCAGTTGTCATACAATTTACCGTGTGTGGTCCTGCAAACGTCCGACAAATGTCCGCCACGAAATGTCTAAATTGAAAACGCCCTTTAGGAACATCCACGATTGTCTAATGCCGGCTGTACTCTCGTCAGTCTTGTCTGAGAGCTCTCGCCCAGACTCGCCCGAATACTCGCGAGACAGCCCCATGTGCAAAAGACAATGCCGGAAATTGGCGTCTTTTCTTTTTTCGCGCGGCCATCGACCAAACCTTGTTTTTTGATTACAAAATAGTGTAATAAACCAAACTTACTATGACATGTATACCTCTAAACTCAGTCTGAACTGAGTTACGAGCATTAGAAGTTTGATGATTTTACATACTAGATTTGCTTTTTGCGCNAAATGGCAATGCCAGATTTTGTATGGAAGGTGGCGTCTTTTTTTTTTCGCGCGGCCATCGATCAAACTTTGTTTTTTGATTACAAAATATTGTAATAAACCAAACTTACTATGGCATGTATACCTCTAAACTCAGTCTGAACTGAGTTACGAGCATTAGAAGTTTGATGATTTTACATACTAGATTTGCTTTTTGCGCGCAAGTTTTGTAAGAAATTGCAACAAAATAATGACATTGTATGTGTAAACAAACAATACCATCCATTAAAGGCTCCAGACATCAGTATGCAGCAGAATCAGCGCAATAAAAAATAGCGCAATATTTTTCTTACAAAACTTGCGCGCAAAAAGCAAATCTAGTATGAAAATCATCAAACTTCTAATGCTCGTAACTCAGTTCAGACTGAGTTTAGAGGTATACATGCCATAGTAAGTTTGGTTTATTACAATATTTTGTAATCAAAAAACAAAGTTTGATCGATGGCCGCGCGAAAAAAAAAAGACGCCACCTTCCATACAAAATCTGGCATTGCCATTTGGGAGCGCCGAGAGAGGAAAGCCGAGAGGAAAAAATTTTATTTTCCCCTTCGGCGAGTCTACAGACGGCATAAAGCGTGATATAACGCGAATGTGGATGGAACAACAAGAATAACGAAGCGCAGTCGCAGCATCACGCCTCTAATTTGCCTTTATTTTGTAACGCGCGCTCGTCTTTTGTTTACAGTGCACAAAAGACATTCACCTTAAGATTGCGTCCCCACTATTCGCGTTACATGACATTACATTACACAAGTCTGAGTTTAAAATAATTTTGATAAAAGGACTCAACAAGGCTTCTGCTTACGCTTCAGCAGTAGTCTTGAAATTCTTTTTTTTATCCACAACGAGGAAGCTCTAGGCCTGTATCTCATCTGATGGTAAGTGATGATCAGGCCGAGAAGGTGGAAGCGAGCTTCACCCGGAATCCTCAACCACGGAGGAACTGGCTATCTTACCTCTTACTGCCGGAAAACAACAATGCTGTTAACATTATTGTTATAGCGACAGACTTAGGTTAGATGGTGGTAGCTAGCCAGGCGGACTTTGAACAAGCCGTACCACCAACCAAACCGAACAGAAAAATCTGCCCCCACTGGGAATCGAACCCGGGACCTCTGCGTCTGAAGTAGGTGGTCTTACCACTAGACCACAGAGGCGGTAAATGGCAATGCCAGATTTTGTATGGAAGGTCGCGTCTTTTTTTTTTCGCGCGGCCATGTAAAATCATCAAACTTCTAACGCTCGTAACTCAGTTCAGACTGAGTTTAAGAGGTATACATGTCATAGTAAGTTTGGTTTATTACATTATTTTGTAATCAAAAAACAAAGATTGGTCGATGGCCGCGCGAAAAAAAAAAGTCGCCAATTTCCGGCAGTCTTTTATTGAATTTATCATGTGCACTCACCCTGGCGGTATGTCTCGAGTGCGTATCGTGGGCGTGGACGGGCGCGCTGAGCGACCAGTCAGCGTTGATCTGCGCGCCTAGCGGCAGACTGTGAGAGCGGAGCTGCTCCTTGCGGCCTGGGCTGCCCGCACTGCTACTGTCTTGAACTTAACTAGTTTCATCATTATACACTTAGCCACTGACCCTGGCGGTATGCCTCGAATGCGTATCGTGGGCGTGGGGCGGCGCGTGGGCGTGGGCGGGCGCGCTGAGCGACCAGTCGGCGTTGAGCTGCGCGCCTAGCGGCAGGCTGTGCGAGCGGAACTGCTCCTTGCGGCCCGGGCTGCCCGCGCTGCTACCAGCCTGCGCAGAGCTACCGGCGCCTGACACCTGACGACAAAAACAATATTTACCTATAGTCTGTGAGCACGTAGAATTTTGTCCAATGACCCCAAGCTACCCATCCTTATCGCTCGCGCGTAATTACTCACTGCGGGTGCCAGTCGCACAGTCGCGACAGCAATATAATTACGCGCGAGCAATAAGGATGGGTAGCTAGGGGTCATTGCACAAAATTCTACGTGCTCACAGACCGGGCTTTACTTAAATCAAATAATGTACATAGTACTTAAGCCCATTCCAGGGCGCTTACACACGCCCCAAATATTGCTAGCCCTACCATCACTTCGGGTCAACAAAGTGGCGGAAGAAACTCTGATTTAAGTTGAAGTTCATCAAAGTAACTATACAGATAATACAGAAAAATATTGTTCCGTGCCTGGCTGGATGTAAATAGAGATCTAGCAATAGCTTAACTCTCTCCTGGGACTAAAGTAGTCTTTCCTTGGTTGCATTTTATTGGTTATCCAGCTAATCCAGCTAAAGATACAGCTACTGAAGACTTGTAATGGTGGAAAGGAGATGTAGTAACAGCGTAGAATAAAGTAGATTCATATAAGAAGACTCAAGATCACCCAAAGAGCGATGGCACAGAGCTCGTAGAGCTGATGGTCGTTAGGACAAGAAGCCATAGTGTGGTTAGGCCTTCAACTAGGTGGACCGACGATCTGGTGAAGGTCGTGAGAAGTGCCTGGATGCGGGCAGCGCAGGACCGGTCTTTCCACCAGTCGTTAACGTAATTTGTTTGAAAAGAAAGTGGATTAGAAGTGGCTTACCTGCTGTGAGGTAGCTGCCACGAGAGGAGGCGAGGGCATCTTGAAGGAGCGCTGGTTGGGCGCCGCGGGCTTCGGCTTGTAGGCCTCGGGCGCTGGTAGGTACTGCATAGGCGCCGCCGGCCGCGGCCGCGCCTCGTAGCTCGGCTGGCTCGACTGTGACGAAACCACAGTTAGTAACCGATCGCGCCTACTAGGGATGATCAATTGACAAAACATCGCTGTTCGGTAAAACATCGATGGTGATCGATATGTGCAACGTTGTTGAACAATCAGGTTTAATTTAGTGCACCGTGGGAAAAATTATGTCCAGATATCAAGGTTTTAATAAGGTCAGAATTTAAGAAAAGTTCTGATTTTACATACATTGTAATTTATCTACATCGACGGTTTTCGTCAATTAGTCTGCAATCAAAAATAAGTACAAAATGGGTGCATATTCTTAGTCATTTTCATGCAGCACAAAATTTTGAAATCCCGAGGTTTAAACAAGCAACATCGACGTTTTGTATCGATCACCCCTACTGCTCTTACGACAGGCAAGCGGAGCTACCATCTGCTGCGGGTAGGGCTGGTAAGGCGGCGCGGGCGGCGGCGCGGGCGGCGCGGGCGCGTAGTGCGGCCGCCGCTTGTCGCTCGCGCGCGGGTAGCCGCGCCCTTGCAGCACGAGGGTAGACGCGTACTTTGAACTAGGCAGCGGCTGTTGGAGAAGCGTCACTGTCTCCGGCGCTGTTTGGGACGGCGGCACCGCTGGGAAAGAATAAGCATTGTTACTTTGATAAAGGTGGGTTACAAACTGATAAGATGGGCAGTCGATTTTTTGGTGCAAGACGGTTTAATTTCTTGAAAAGCTCAATCTTATAAACTTTGGTAATTGGAAACAATTAAGAATGAAGTCAAGTACATTCATAAGTGCCAAAATACTGGTCAAAATTGAATAAATATTTGTGATTTATTATTTTTCCGAAAATGACGGTTAGTCAGAACTGTCTAGTGGTTGTAGTGACTGGTGGAGTCTGCAGAAACAACTGCCATAGAATCGCAAATTGTAGTCGTTTTACATTCATTCTTGGTCTATCGATCACTGTCACCGTTTACAGACAGCATAAAACAATCAGGTAATAAAGAAGCTATAACACACCTGCGTCGGAGAACCAGAGTGACTGACATAGCCCGCAGAATCGCTAAAATCAAGTGGCATTGGGCGGGGCACATAGCTCGAAGAGCTGATGGCCGCTGGGGCAGGAAAGTTCTTGAGTGGCGACCACGAGCCGGAAGACGTAGCGTGGGCAGGCCTCCCACTAGGTGGACCGACGATCTGGTGAAGGTCGCGGGAGGTGCCTGGATGCGAGCAGCGCAGGACCGGTCTTTGTGGAAATCCTTTGTCCAGCAGTGGACGTCTTTCGGCTGAAACGAACGAACGAACACACCTGCAGTATACTTATAGTAGGAGTCGGGCTGCGTGACGATCTTGGGCGCCGCCACGTGCTGCAGCCGCGCCTTGCCCGCGTAGGGCTGCAGCGGCGCATCGGGCGCCGGCGCCGGCTCATACCTAGTGATGCGAAATTAACAGATTTTTGAAAAACGTGAAAAAAAAAAATTGACACCCGTGTTTTTTTTTGCCTCACTTTTAATTCAATTATGAATCAAAATACATTAACCTTTAAAGTCCCAGACGGTATACATTAATGCCTTAACAATTGATTATCTATTGTGTCTAGATTCGCGGGCCTTGAAGGATTAATACAAGTTATTTATTTATAATTTAGTAATAACAACTTCCAACAAAAGATTGCAACTTTACTTATTTTCCAACAAAAGATTGCACCTTTACTTATTTTCTTTCTTTATTTTTATTCTTCATATTTCCTATAATATCAGTTTCAATGCCTAAACTACTTTTGTCTTGCGGTCAACGTAGAAATCTTGGTACTATTCCACCAGAAAAGTACAGTACAGTCAAGAATAAACCGAAAACTATATTATGTACTCTTAAGTATTCGTTTATAATCGTAACTGCCTGAAAAGTTTTGGATCTTACTCTTAAAAAAAATATAGAAAAAAGACTGTTTTTTTTTGCAACACTACATACCCGTACTGAGGCATCAGCTCCGCGCCCATCATGCCCTGCATCTCGCCCTGCGCGAACATTCGCGAGCCCTCGTACGCGCGCCTCTGTTGCTCGTTCTTGATCGACTCCTCTGACATTAACATTTGAGTATTGTTGCTTGTGCCTGAAAGGTGAAATCATTCATGATAAAGGGTCAAGTACCCTATTCATCATGCGTAAAAGTTGGATCTATTTCTCTCTTTTTTTTTTGTTGTGTTTGTTATTGTCATGACGAGGTTCTTATGTAAGATAAATTATTCAAAAAAGACAATGCCGGAAATTGGCGTCTTTTTTTTTTCGCGCGGCCATCGACCAAACTTTCTTTTTTGATTACAAAATAGTGTAATAAACCAAACTTACTATGACATGTATACCTCTAAACTCAGTCTGAACTGAGTTACGAGCATTAGAAATTTGATGATTTTCATACTAGATTTGCTTTTTGCGCGCAAAGTTTTGTAAGAAATTGCAACAAAATGGTGACATTGTATGTGTAAACAAACAACACCATCCATTAAAGGCTCCAGATATCAGTATGGAGCAGAATCAGCGCAATAAAAAAATAGCGCAATATTTTGTTGCAATTTCTTACAAAACTTGCGCACAAAAAGCAAATCTAGTATGAAAATCATCAAACTTCTGATGCTCGTAACTCAGTTCAGACTGTGTTTAGAGGTATACATGCCATAGTAAGTTTGGTTTATTACACTATTTTCTAATCAAAAAACAAAGTCTGGTCGATGGCCGCGCGAAAAAAAAAAGACGCCACTTTCCATACAAAATCTGGCATTGCCATTTAGTAAACATAACGGTCATAATAACTGTTCTTAAGATAGGAAAAACATATCAATGTTTTTGCTATACATATCAGTCAGTACTTTGGGCATCCTTGGGATGTTACTGAGAAGTGAGGAACAAATTCGGCCATCTTTGTCAGTCTAATTATTTAGAAATGTGCGATAAAATTTGAAGTTTTACCAACTTAGATTTAGCGTCACGTAATGGAATACTGATTGGTTGGTATTTAACTATTTGCTAAATGCTAAATTGGCTTGAAAATAGTTTTTAATGACAATAATTAAGGATGGTGACTCATAAAAGTATAGGTACATAACGTTACAATCATTGATGTAAACCGCCTATCGAGCCGCAATAAATTTTGCTCAATAAGATATTGTGATATTACATTGTAGATAAAGATAACATAAAAAGTCAAGTCATGGGCTATAGATATTATCTGTGGCTACAGTAAGCTAGTGGAATGGAGTGCAAGTCACATAAAAGACTTATTTGTGAAGTTATTTTTAACAGACTTCGTTAATTGGGTATTTGACACTATTCATTCACCAATTTAAAGTACAATTTTTTTAAAAACATTTCGTTCTGGTCTTAAAAACTCAACTAATTTTAAAATCAAATTAAATTAAGATTTTTGACTTTGTTAATGTAAAAAAGTATAAAGCCCTACAAAACATACTATGTGAGTCTCGTTTTAACAGTTCATGAAAAGTACGTCAGAATAGATAGAATAGAAAGTATTTACGCCCGTATTCACAAAAGATGCTTGGTTAATTGAAGTAGCAAATCGAACGCACAGCGTTGAATAGAGTTCTGTGATTGGTTCGTGTCACCCTATGAGTCCACGCGCACTGTGATACCTCATAGTAATGTTTGTGAATACGGGCGTTATTCGTCTCAAAATGTCAAATACCCTATTGTTCGTTCGTTCGTTCGTTTCAGCCGAAAGACGTCCACTGCTGGACAAAGGCCGCCCCCAAGGAGGAGGATGGCCGCTGGGGCAGGAAAGTTCTTGAGTGGCGACCACGAGCCGGAAGACGTAGCGTGGGCAGGCCTCCCACTAGGTGGACCGACGATCTGGTGAAGGTCGCGGGAGGTGCCTGGATGCGAGCGGCGCAGGATCGGACCCTATTGTAAACTGTTTTATTGTTTCCTACCATGTATAGTCATCTGGCTGGTGGGCATGGCGGCGGGCGAGCTGCCGAGGTAGCCCTGCTGGTACGAGTCCACGGACATGCCTCCGCCCCGGTACAGCGCCTCCTCAGCCGGGAGCGCGCTCTCCTCGGGCACGGGAGGCAGGCGGGGCGTTGACGACAGAAGTTCTGCAAGTTGCATGGGGTTATGGTGGAAATAACTCATTTATTTTTGCAACTAGGTTATAATGGATAAGAATAAGAGAAATATCTGCTCATTTGTACACACAGCAACAAGAGAAAGGCTCAAAATTTAGGATGAAAAAAAAAACACGAAAAAAAATTGTATTTGATACGGGCACGGGAGGCAGGCGGGGCGTTGACGACAGAAGTTCTGAAGTATGGGGTTATGGTGGGAATAACTCATTTATTTTTGCAACTAGGTGTTTATGCCTTTAGACTAAGATGACTTTCGAAATAAGATGAATAAGAATAAGAGAAATATCTGCTCATTTGTACACACAGCAACAAGAGAAAGGCTCAAAATAGAGGATTAAAAAAAATAAGAAAAAAAATCGTATCTGAAATGGCGACACTTTTCCAAAAAGAAAAAAAATGAATAGATGACCATCCGTGTATCATCTCCTTAAGTTTGCTCTTTACGGGACACTCTGTATATTTCTCATTAGAAAGGGAAAATGAGAGACGTACTGTCACCCGTGCGCGTACGCCTTTACACGTCCCAGTATTATTTTAATCCTACCACTGCTTCGGGACAAAAAATGGGCGAGCAGCGCAAGAAACTCAGTCACAATATTGTCAGCCTCTTTTCCAAGGGTTTACTAGGGATGGGACTAAGATTTATTAACTAGCGCTACGCTCTACTCCGCTAACTGTTCTGCCTTCGCACGGCAATGTATTATATCGTACATTTATAATACGTTCTTGATCCACTCTATCTTTGCTGAGAACTGCATTAAAATCCGTTGCGAAGTTTAAAAGATCTAATCGTACAGACAGCGGGGGCGATTTTGTTTTATACTATGAATGCAAAAATATTTATTGAGTACAACAGTTACATACAGATTACAGTACATACGTTTTTGTACTAAGCTATTAGTGATGCGCATGACCTCAATTACAGCATACCTATTCAAGATATTAATAGTACCTATGCTTGTGGTAAACGGGAAGGCCGAAAAGTATTGAAGTAATGAACAATTTTACATGTTTGTTTTGCCAGTTCGATGGTAATTAGGTAGGTAATAAATTATTTTTATCATAGATGTGTCTAACTAAGAATGAAATCATTACCGTTATAATTGAATTTATAACAGGTAATAGATAAAACTCTAATCTGAAGGATTCAACTTTAAATATATGTATCCACTTTTTTTTTTTCAAGATAATAAAAAAGTACATCCTAATTCAGTACATAGATCTAGTCCCGATTTTAATCGATACATGGTTTGTCACTTTCTGTCAAATGTTAAATTCAATGTGATGAAACGAGATAACACGTCGTTTAACTTAAACCGAAGTTATTATAGTAGACATTTTTAGCGTAAGGGGATAAATAAATTTATTATTATAGTGTAGATAAGTGAGCTAGGTGACAGTTTATGAAGAGTGTCGACCTACGATAAATAGATATAAATAAGTTCCATTACTCATACTAAGATTAGCCCAAGCAAGAAGAAATGTTGACCCTTTATAAAAATAGATCGAGAATATTACGCATTTTTCTACTCGATTGCGTCATCGTACTTGCAGTCATAATATGCCTATAGAAAATATAAGCGTTTGCAATAAAAGATAAAAGAAATGAAGGTCAATAAACACGTAGCCGGAAATTATTGGAGAAGTGGCACAAACATAATAATGAGATAACGAGTTTTGTCTTCCTCACCTTGGAGTGGTTCCAATGTGTCCATAAAATCATCGAGGTTAGGTTGCAAAGGACCTAAGCTCGGCTGAATGAAGTCAGCTAAGCTAGCACCTCTTGCTGAAAGTAAACAATATTACGCACGTGTTAATATTATCACATATTATTATGAGAACGTATCTTTGTCTGTCTGTTACTTTACACTGAACCAATTTTGATGAATATTGGTATAGAGATATGTAAGCCTGGAACATGTGATTGTAATTATCCCCATGATTCAGGGGTATTCTAACGAAAATAATGTTTGTATGGGGATAATTTAGCAGGTGAAGTCGAATGCAAAAGCCAGTTTACAATATAGACAGGCTATCTACGCCTATCCACATTCCAAATACGGTGAATTAATTTAAGAATACATTTATTCTTGATGAATAAGTATTTGAATCAATTGTGTACAAAATCGTGTAAAAACTGACAAAAATCTCACGCACTCGTAATTTCATTTGGGAAATCTTGCACGGCACTATGTGCTGATAAATTTGTAGGTACTTTATTCGAGTCATACTGGCGATTTCTTTTGCGACAGCTTAGATAAAAATATAAGGAGTTTCTTGGTTTTATCCCCAACAATTTTTTGTTTTATAACTATCCAATAACCCGTGGCTACCAAGCGGTCAAAGAGTATCCAACCGTATGGTAAGAAAAAATAAGTTTTTGAGGATTTGGAAGAGGATTCATTAAGCGATTCGGTAAAATTAAATAAATAGTCATGACATACGTCTATAGCTGGTCTATAAGCCTGAATCTAGTGTGACCTTTTGCTAAAAGAAGTACTTATCACAAGATAACAATTGAACAGCATACCAATCTCCCTGCAGTCGGGGAACGCGAAAGGTTGGTGGTTGGTGATGGTCGAGAACAGAGTGTCACTCATGAAGCTGAGGTAGTCCTCGTCTGTTAACATGTTGCCCGCGAGGTCGCTGCATTGCGAGAACGACTCCACCGTGTCCATGTCCGATATCTAAGCAGAAACATTCATTAACACTCGGCGGTCAAATGGTTAAATCATACCCATTTTCAAATGCCTCACCGTATCCTGGACGGCGGTGTCCCCCTTGCCGAGGAGCCGCATTATATGAAACATGCGCCATTTTTTATATTCTGCGATTACTGCTTCGGCTCTTCGTTTCCAATATTTGCCTTCTAATATTGTTGTCTGTAATTAAACGAACCAGTTACTTATAATATTCTCAGTATAGCTTATTTTATATTTCAAAAGTTTAAATAAGTTACCTCTGGTTTTACGTGAGTGTCAACGTCTAACGGTGAAGCGAACTGGCACACCAGGGTATTTTGCTTCTTTATAACTGCAAATCAAATTCAATATTGAGACCATGTGTGTAAGTAGGCAGCTCGTGTGATTATTAGCCAATTAGAATGATAAAGTGCCTACTTAATATTAATATGAAGATCGAGACGCAATCTTCAACAACAGTCTTGATTATCAGTGATTTGTTGCTCAAGACTCATTTGAATAGTAATTAAATAGTTAACTTCGCTAATACTAATTAATCATACACCTACACACACCCCTTGATGCGTATGAACACACACCCACGGCCACATCCCTCATTGCTTTTACCGACACGAACATATTGACCAACTTATCAATGATTTATAACTCAGCAAGTATTAATATGATAAAATCGTCTACACGCATCGTTCGATTGGGTCCTTTCACGATAATAGTGCGTGGTAGTCTTGTAGTACATTCGCGTTAGCAACTACAGATACCAGCACCACGCATCACTCTAGCACGTGCTAGATAACATATTAGACATACAATAGTACCGTTTTCAAAACTAGGAATTGAAACATTGCCCAAAATCTCGCTAAATCTACAAATTAAACCCGATTCTCTCACCGTTTATAGAGCGGTCACAAGCGTAAATACTAGCGGACTTAAATAAAAAACGTACTTACTACCCAAAACTAAAAGTATTAGTATAATAAAAATATGTTTAATAATACTTATTGTATACATTTTCGTTTGAACCGTGAAAAATGAAACGGAAAGTTTTTGTTTGGCGGAACAAACCCAATAAATCTTGTTATGCTATTTATACCTGATATAAAAAACACATAGTAATGTCTATGCTCACAAATTGTTTTTACGATAATACAAAGAGCCCTAAAGAGCTTACTTATTTTCTAATATTTAGGTACTAAACCAGTCAATATTCAGCAATATCATTGTGGTCTCGACTTAGGGGCCGATTTTTAAGATATTTTTAGAGACAAGTAGTTCAATTAACACCAAGTTAGGAACTGAAGATGAAATTTAGGGGAAATCGAGAAAATTTACAAATATACCATAAATAATTTATAAATACGTAGGTACTTATATGTATTGTAATTGTAATATAAGGCACCACTAGTCCAACGTGACTACCAATTCGCGAGTCGGTAGTTTGATTCCCAATGACCACCGCAAATCCGCAATACTGCTTTGCAGTCTTACCAGACTGCCCGCACTGGTGCTACTGCACCAGACTTCAATCTGTGACCAGCATTTAATAAAGTAATAGGACATACTTAAAAAGTCACTTATTGTTTAAAATATTAAAACCTTAGAATTAAAACGTATTTCAAGACTTCAGATTTAAGCCGCTCAGTATTATCGAACTGAACTAAACTAAAGGTATTTGAGTAACATTTCTAAGCATTTCTATCGATAAAAATGTATTCACAAGAGTCACCTTTGGCAGATTTTTCATTGGCGTCGAGGTATTTGATTCATGATAATAAATCTCAAATACATTTTTTTCAATAGCTGCTGATAAATGATATTTATTAAAATATAACAAAGATCATCAGTTACTGGACATTACCTATCTATAATTACGTTTCACGTCAAGAAATAAGTTTTAAGAGGTCACTGTTATCTGACAATATTTAACCACACTTATGCAATACAGACTTTTTAGCAATCATTGTGCATTAAAGTATAATCGGACCTTTTTGATACAAAAATGTGCGTTGCTTTTTAATTAAGACATTAACGAGATAAAACCGGTAGGTTTCGGAAATTTTTGGTACATTGATAATTATTATTTACATAAAAGTATTACGCGTGTAAACTGATCACAAAGTATACTTTATACATAGCAAATGACGTCACGGCACATTAAGCTGATGATTTATCTTTGTGTGAGTAAGACATCAAACAACAGGACTTCAAGCACTTCTCAAACACTAATGTGTGCTCACTAATAAAACAAATGTATAATTTTATACAATAAAGTCTACTGAATAGTACTGACAGACTAATAGGATTATTACAAATAAATTATTAATTTATTACAATATTATCTATTGGCCTAGTATTAACAAAGCAGCTAAATGTAATAAATTCATTAATGACTCAAAATTTTATAGATCTTTACTTTATTTTAAATGCAAAAAATATGGAAATTATTCAGTAATGTTAATATAACAAGTAATTGGTAGTACCTCTGCAACATGGCCAGAATAAAATATTATCTCAAAAAATAAAATACTTACATTGCATGTGCCAACATCTCCATATAACATTGTTCAGTCTGATTTTGTCCTTCCACCGGAGTTTTATACCTTTGAAACGATTCCATTTTGGAGAGGTTAGTTTTTGTCTGAGAAAAATAATAAAATAGAAAAATTATTTTTATATTCACTTACCATAATTATCCTAACAACTTCCAGTCACAACCCAATACTTTTTAAAAGCACTTTACTAACTAAGTTAACTATATGAGTCCTTGAGCTAAGAAGTATCATTTTAACTTGTGATGAATTTAAAATAGGCATTATTATGAATACAAAAAAATGTATACTTTATTAACAAGTACAGACTTGGCGTGGAGCTGTACTGTTGAAATATGAAATTGTCTGACAGTCGAATGCTAAGCCACTTATCAGCTGTGCTATCAAATGGATCTTAAGCTTATTGCAAATAGCAGGTTGATAAGGAATAAACTCAGACTTCTTATCTTATCACCCTATAGTTCTACAGTCTCCCAACCGTAAATAGGTGAAAAATAAATTACTTAACTAGTCTCCTACCTAGTAAAATCAGTTTTATTTTTTGTCTTACAGAAAATTGCTCTAAAAGTAATAAGAGTTGTAAATAGAATTTAACTTTGTTGCTTATTTGTCTTTGTGACTTTGCTTGTTTACAAGATATTTGTTTTTTTTTATGATCTGTTTAATGGTTACATTTATTTATTATTATTTAGGTAATATTACTATGGTTTTACAGTTTATGAGAGGTCAAGACATTCAAGACTTCAGACTTTGTAAACGACTTTGAATAAAAAAAGATGTTTTTAATAAAAGGGACTAATGTATAGCGCCAGGCTTACTCATAAAAGGTACTGGTATGGTGGCTCAAAACCTTGATTTACTTTTAGGAATAAAACAACTTCAAGAACTAAAAGGATAGGTAAATTAAATATTTATTTTTAATTGTTTTTTTTTTACATCTGAAGTTTTTTTCTATTCTAATTCTACTTATTGGGCATTAACCCTTCAAGCCTCATGAATTGAGACAGTAGATATCAATCGTTATGCAGTCTTATGCAACCGTTTGGGGTTTATGATGTTTTGTTTGGTATATAATTTTGTTTTTCTAATAAAATTACATTTATTTCATGTATTAGTATTGGAATACTTTTTCATTTCATATAATATAGACTTATAAACATATTTTATTATCATGGTTAACAACAATATTCTTCAAGATCTATCGATTAAATTACATATTCCTATAAAACAACAAAATAAAGGACATACCACCTAGAAACAACAGTAAAATCATGAATTATACTATTGTTAGGTAGCTTTGAAACTCCAGCTATGTAATTATGTTTAGTATAAATAAATCAGTATTATCAGCTACCCTTACCAACAAATCAGTGTATAAAATTAAACACAAATATCAATAACTAAGTATTCATAGACGGAGTTATCTCAGAACATGACCTGCGTCTTTTACACAGGCTATGATGACCTCCTGTTATCTTTGCACACCAAACTAATGGAAACATACTGTTTCCTCATTTTGAGAAAACAAGAATCTCTACAATGTTAATAGCATGCTTTAAAACTTGTAAGCAATTATAGACTTCCAATATCTTAAATCAGATTCCTGTCAGACAATACAATTTCTTTTTATAGTTCCAAATTGGACATTAGTTCATAGTAAAAGCAGGATCAAAATTTAGATTTTTACTAACTAATAAATTAGTTACCTACATGAATCAATGTAACAAAACAACATTAAGTTTTACCAATCATTTAAAAACACACTCACCTGTAAGCTAAAGTCATACATTTGAATAATTTTGTAAGCGATATTTCGATAGAAAGCTGTTGATGTTGTTTGGTCACGATTTTGTCTGAGGGAGTGAATTGTTCTTTCGTGCCAGGTACGGTGTAAGTTGTAACCACAGACACTTTTTGAATGTTCTGTTCTTCGTCTGGAACAGGTACTGCCAAATCGTCAAATTCATCTTGAGCTTCTGCTTCAAAATGCGACACCATAAAATGCCCAGAATGAATAGTCTCCTTTCCTGGTCGAGGCTGGCGTTTCTCAACGTGTGTCATCGTTGTTACCTTAGTATTCAATTGCCTAAACACTAGGTGGTAAAGATGAATTAATAATCACATAAAATCTAACTAAGATCAACTTTTGGACTTAGACATATTTTTCATTTTTATCACTATCGCACACACTCACATTGTTTTTCGTCTGACAATGACATGACAGCAAGACCAATAAATTGACAGCAGTACAAACAGAGCCCCGTTGACATTATAATAATATAGAGCACTCCATCAATAGGCAATCCAATTACTGCTGAAAGTACACTCTTGAGTCTTGGCCAAGTCGCATTATTGTGAACACCATACTTGACAGGTTTCTTCTTGCCGATATGATAGGTGTGCTTCGACCTTTATGCGTTAGAAAATATTTGGCTATATGGACATCCCAAGCCGTAAACCTTGTCTAGAAAAAAAAAAGCTGTGACGTCACAATCAATGAAATGTCAAAATTTGGCTCTAATTTTTGTTGATTTGATTTTTGAACGCTGCCTCCAACTTGTTGTAATGTGGGTATTTATCTTTCTATTTTGATACACATATTCTTTATCACTTTAGTGTTAATCATTATTTATTTGTTATAGTTTTTAGGACACAACATAACATTTAATTGCTCTACCGTGGACAGCATTCACGTTACAAGCATGAGTAATTCACCCAGTGCCAGTTCTCCTAAATTCAAAAATTTAAGGAAGAAACAAAGAAGCTCACCTATGGAATTAAAAGAAAAAATACGGAAGGTCAGTAACATTTTTTTAGCTTTACTTACATGGTTATTTCCCTTGTAATCTTGCAAACAAACACTTGAATGACCACTCCTTAATCTTATTAAACCTAGATGAGTAAGTTAATTGGCCCCTGGCTAGATGACATGATGATAAAGTTACCTAGTTCTTATTAAACCTAGATGAGTAAGAAGTTGGCCCCTGGCTAGATGACATGATGATAGTTAGATGTTAGATAGTTCTCTGTTACATGCTATAAGTTACCAGTTGGCCGAGGTGACAAGACAAGTTTATTATGGTTGGATAATCGGACAAACCAGCTTTAATGTGACTGTCCTAATTGAATTAAGAATTTAATATTTCTCTCTCAGCAGACTTATGTGCTCAAAAAGGTGTTGATCACATCACAGGATAAATTAGACAGGTTTTTTAATGGTAACTTAAAAATAGATAAGATAATCCATTTCATCTGCAGATTTAATATTTGTTTCCATTTAAAACTCTTGATTTCTTTATCTTTGATTACAGAACTACAAGGACAAGATTCAAAATTGCCGTGAAACCCTAATGAATAGGTTCCGTGGCACAGTAGAGGAATTCGCTCTGCACAATACTTTGACTGAAATATATAATAATATGTTTGACTTATCAAATGTGCCTCAAGTTGATCATGAAGACGTAGAAGTTTTAGAAGAAATAAAAAATGAACTGATTCAGGAGGAAATGGACTGGTAGGTTACCTTAGATTAAAATTTTAACTTTAATAAAATTGTAATCAAAATATTAAATTACATAATAATAATTATACTTTTTTCAGGTATTTGGAAGAATATGAAAAGTCTCAAGTGGATGTTGATTGGTCAACAATTGAACAAGAAAATAATGTAATATGTCCAATTTGTCAGAAAAAAAATCTTTGTCTTGAAAACTGTGACCTAACTTGCTTACATTGTAAAATCACTATAAAAACCGATAAATCATTAGCTGATGTTAAAAAATCAATTTTATATTCATTAGAAAAACATAGTGCATTATGCAACCATGAATTCCAATTTGTCTTAGTACCAGAATCACATGAAAGTCACATCTACTTAATTTGTAGTGGTTGTCAAGAAATGCAAATTGTTGTTTGATTTGATGTTTAAAAATAAGATTTAAGTGATATATTTTTTAAACTAAAAAAACATTATTTGGGTCTAATTTGATAGAAATAATAATTGTTTGTATCTATTGAGTCAAAGATACAACATACATACCTACATTTACCCTGGACCTTAAAATAAAATGTTTGAAAATACACCTGCAACTTATTTTTTGAACAACTTATTCACTATTTTGTTTATTCTTTAGAATTTTAATTTTAATAAAATGAAAATAACTTATTCATATCGATTGTTTAATCATTTTTGTAAATATTTTAATAAATTGTTTACTTATTTATTGATTTTATTGATTCCTACAAATCTGCAACAGAGGACCTGTGGTAGTGTGTAGTAGCGTGGTAGTAACGCTCTGTATAGGTAGGTTTGTACTTTATCAGTTTAATAATAATTGCCTAAATGCCTACTTATTACCAAAAAGGTAAGGAAAAGCCAAAAGGTATTTATTTCCATCTACCCCATTCAAGCTTGCCACCGCGCGGGGTGTTTGTTGGCAGCTTAGATTAATTAATCTAATGGCGCATTTTCATTAGTCGATAACTCGTTCGGTATACAGCATGCAGGGATTCCCCGCATGCGAGATAACGACCAATGAGTTGCAATGCAAGTCGATACGCATTCGGTACAACGCCTGCGGGGATTCCCCGCATGCATTATACCGACCGTGCTATCGACCAATGAAATTCATCGTTCAGATTTTCTGACGCGCCATGCCTTTTTCTATTTTTTAGTAAACTTCGCACCCAGATTGCGGGCCCTGTGGCACGCGTTCCAGAAATCTCTCGCACTCCGCATGAGGACCCTATCGACGAATGAAAACGGTTCCCCGAATGCGGGCCCTGTGACATGCGTTCCAGAAATCTCCCGCACGCCGCATGCTGACTCTATCGACTATAGTGAAATTGCGCCATAAGGTTGGCAGGCACTAAATATGTAGGTGGCGTTTATATTCCTATCTGGCCCCCTTCGGTTGTTGTCGTATGATCAATGGCATCTTCTCTTGGGTTGCGCAACTAGAAGCCATTGTCAACACAAGCAGAGTATTTTGTATTCACCATTACTATGAGGTCTCACTGCGCGTGGACGCACAGGCACAGGATCTCAAAAACCTTTATTCATAGACAATACTTGAGTGGCGGACGGAGTCACTTACACGAAAGAGCTCTATTCAACGCTGTGCGTTCGACTTCGCATAGCGTTGCTGCATCACACAAGCAAGCATCGTTTATAAATGCGGGTATAAGCACAGGTATAAGCTCTCAGCGCTGACGTCTAACTGATATTGTGCTTTCTCTTCTGTCTCGCTTGCAGACATTTAACAAGAGCGAGGTAGCTAGCTAGTGTATTCAATATTTGAACTGAAGAGTGAAATGTGTTATTTATGTTTGTTTAGGTATAATAAATTACATCACTTTGAGTAACGTGTTAGCCTAAACTTTCGTTGTCATGTACACACACCGCCAGTGTTAACTAGGTATCCATTTCCGTTTTTGCTCTCGCTGTCATCAAATGGTGATTCTTTCTTTGCCATAGAACGAGACGACCATGCTAATAACTGTTGCCGATAGTACACTCCGTACTCCAGTGCAGTTTGTCGCAGATAGCGCGCCAGCAGCGGTCCAAATATGTAGCTTCGGGAATCTTTGAGACAATGACCATATTAGGCTATAGATAGATATGATGATTTACCTAATTGCGAGAACAATCGCATACACATCTTACAACGAGTAAATACCTAGTGCAATTCAGTATGTCTTTACAGGAACGGCTAGTAATCATATCAAGTGGCTCCAAATGGTTTGTGTAATATTACACAGTACTGCTCGCCAGTTCTGTTACTTGAACTTGCCGCGCGACCATATTTCATGATATTAAGGCGGGATTCGAACCTGCGCATTAAGTCCGCACAAGACTGGAGAGCTGGAATTCCAGTAAAGAAAACACTGTTTGAATTAATTTATGATGATAAATAAAACACATGATGTACAAAATAAAAAATGACCTTTTAATTCAATTCATGAAGCATGGTAACAAGGTATATTGTAAATTATTACTTTGTCATACAGTCGGGGTTAGAACATTTTATTACAGTGATTAATTCCTACTAAAAGATTAGACTAAACGGTAACTTGTATAAAATGTACAATCTTTATTAATAATATATTGTATAAAACAGTACCATTATCATTACCGACAGTACGGGGGCATCTTTTGTAGTTGAATTCATAATCAGTGTAAAATCAACTATTTTGAGAATTGCCATAGGCCTGAAAATAAGAGTTTTCAGTCATTTTTGTCGTGATATGACAACTATGATTTAAAATAATGCAAAATACGTAATTTAATTTTGACAATCAGTTTAAATAATATTAAATTAAAACTATTACTTAACTATAATGTAATTTCACTAATAGACATAACTATTCATATAATAATGCGAAAATAAAATGTATGATTGATTGAAGACGTAAATAAGCCTGTCTTACCATAATTACATATAAGCTGTTAGTCGAACACAATTAATTATAAGCCATCACTGTGTCGGTTTTACGCAGACGATTTTATTGTAAGTACTCATAGGATTCTGACATGCATATCAGATTTTCATGGTGTCTTTATTCTTACAAAATTAAATGAAGTGCTCAATAACAAATACATTAAAAGGTTTTGCAAGTTTGAAATGTTCAGTCAGAAAGTTCAGATAACGCCAGATTTTGTAAATTGGAGAAAGTAAATAGGCAAGTTAGTAGAAACAAATAGCATAATTTATAAAGATCCTGCAATTTCTTTTCTTTTGTTTGTGTAGTAAGTTACAACCATACAGATTACCATCACATAAACTCGTAAAAATAAATTAGAAAATCTATAAAAAGGGCACAACAAAACAGACTATTATTGGAAGGTATCTTTACTTATCATTTTCTAGTACCACCGTTTACTCTTCAATCCGATTCGCTGCATTCGAATCAGAAATATGACGTTTGGGGTATTTGGCAACAATGTTACCTATTGCTTTATATTATGGAATTTATGGATTGCTGATACATCTATTAATATGCCGTATAATAGATTATCAGCAATCCATACAATTTATACGTCACTTTTCCAATACTCATGAGCCCAATCGCGCTCGAAAGTCCTGGCTATTCTCACTCATATGTAAGTTATCAATTAACATGACCAATTATTCCTGAGGAACACGATATTACATTTTTATTTTGTACCTGTATATTATTTAGAACATATAAATATGTATATAATTATTTATTATGTTAATATAGTTTATTCACACTACAGGACAATTCTATTTACCTATATTGTAATCCATATTATCTTTATAATCTTACCATGACTTATAATTCATATTATTATCAAGTTAATTCAATTTCTAATATACGGCAGTTTCCTTTTCATTCAGCCACTTTTTATAAACACTAAATTTTGAGTACGTAGTATTTATTCCACACAAAATAAAAAATAGCCATAATTGATGATTACACAAATAATATCGAAATATCCACTATAAGCCAAGTTGCAGATACACCAAAAAAGAAATTAGACTAAAAAGTTATGCAATAATGAATAATTTTATGGTGTATCTGAAACAATAAGAACGGCTGGATCATTATTTGGTGCGTTTATTGAATATTTACACTTGTCCACTGTTTGACACAAAGGATACTTTTTGCTTAGTTCTCGAGGCAAGGGAATATAAAAAAACTTTTTTATGGGAATGAACCCATAGTTTGGTGGTCAGTAGTCGTAGCCTTGCTCATCACATGATATCACATATTACGACACGATATAGCCCGACGGATTAGCTTAGCAAGTTGAAGTGGCAATGGGCAGGGCACATAGTACGCAGAACTAACGGCCGATGGGGCAGCAAAATTCTGGGGGCTTAGTGTGATAGTGTGAGTTTACGTCAAACGTCTTCACTAGTGACTGCGCCCCTAGCGGAAACTTTCAAGAACTAAAATTTTTTAACGCGCTCGCTAGTGACGAAGTTTGATGTAAACTCACACTCACCCCCCTGAAGTCGAGGCTACGTACCAGAAACCGCAGCGTGGGACGTCCACCCACAAGGTGGACCGACGACCTCGTAAAGATAGCAGGAAGACGCTGGATGCAGGCCGCTACCAACCGGGCGATGTGGAAATCATTGGAACCTATGTCCAGCAGTGGATGTCCTGTGGCTGAAATGATGATGAAGATGATGATGAGATGATGATGACACATATGTTATTCTCTGTCAATGTGTGTGGAATCCTCACGTCGCCCACACAATATTTTGATGCATTCATGATGGCTGTGTGCCATAGGTTATAGGTTAAAATGATTTTTACTATGGTGGCAGTTATTGGGAATGGAATCGCAAAAAAACAACAATATCATTTTGTGATATACATGATCATGTATATTGCTTTTAGATTTGTCTCAAACAGTTTATACCCATAAAACAAACTAAGCATGCCCGATAAAAGAACATTGATGTGTTTAAATACTTGTGTGTACTATTCTGTTTTCTGAATATAACATTTGTTGAACATAATAATAATGTACAGAATGATGTACATTTAGTGATGTCGACATCGATGCCGTACGTATATGAATTCGCTCAAAGGTTAGTCGGTCTCCAAGCAAAAACCTATGTGCCAAACAAAACGTAGACATGCGTTCTAGCTTGTACTCGAGGTTTCAAATCGGGAGCATCAACATAAATTGCATAATTAATTCTGTATTTACATCGAAAAAGTATGACCCAGTCAGTTCACGTCGGCGCCTTATTCTAGGTTTATGTTGTAGGTGGAGTACTCACTATATGATGGGTAGCCCCTGGACCTCCATGAGGTCCTCCTGCTGGTGGGAGTGCGCGGCGGGCGCGGCGAAGTGGTGGTGGTGCGGGCGCGGGCGCCGCGGTGAGCGCGCCGTGATCACGCGCGGCTTGTGGATCTCGTCCATGACGGACGGCGCCACGTACGTGAAGCCCTGCGGAGGATTAAAATTTTTT